ATGCAAAGTCATGGGTTCGGTCTCTAGTACAGCAATATATATAAAAAAAAAGATATCAAAACAGAGCCAAGCCGGGCATGGTGGCACACACCTATAATTCCAATACTTGGAAGGTTGAGACAGGAGGATAACGAGTTTGAGGATAGCCTGGGTTACATAGCAAGAGTATGTTTCAAAACAATAACAACAAAATCTAAACAAAAAACAGCATTTAAAATTGTAATGATTTAAACAATGTGGCATTGACAGCATAGAAATTGACCCAAGAAAAGATAAGTAGATGAACAGAACAGAATAAAGAGCCCCAAACAGAATTATATATCTTTATGAAAACTTAGAATAAAGGATAGGAAGTGTTTTAAATCCTGAAGAAAGAATGGCCTATTCATTATAGGATACTTTGACAATTGGCTAACCATTTGGGAAAAAATAGAGGCTTATCTTAGCACACACACACACACAAATATAGATTTATCTTAACTATGCTCAAAAATAAAGATTGACTGAGTGAGTAAAGTATCCAATTCAAAAACAAAACCATAAAAACATTATAAAATATAATTTTAAGACATAATATTACATAAATAAAAATACAAGAAAATTACAGACTGAAAGAAAATATTTGTAATATACAGAACAGATTTGATATTTAAATATATAATTTAAAAATCACCCACACAAATCACTGAAGAAAAAGAAAACAACTCAGAGGTATAAAAAAGCTGTTGTTAGAGGATATAAAATGACTTTTTTATTCATTCTCGCAAGTAACGAAGGAGGTGTAAGTTAAAAACAACTTACAAAGCAGAAAAAAAGTAATATTCCAAGATTATTTGGGAATGGACACTATCAGACAGTTACCCCTTTTTTGCAGGGAATTTTGTACTATCTATTGACATTTTAATTGTTAGACAATGATAGACAAATAATACCTGAAATACATAAATCAATCTCCGATAGCAAGGTGGTGCCACAGCCAGTACCTACAATGTGGGAGCGACTTTGTATTTAGGCAGTGGATAGAGACTAGAGAGACTCTGAGGACAGGGATAACAGTTGGGAAGTGCCTTGAAAAGACTTTTGGCAGAAGTATAGGGTTGAAGGAGAGGGAGGAAAATCTCGTTGGAAACTGGAGGGAATGAAATCCTTCCTAGGTGGTGGCAGCCTGCAGTGATGCAGAAAGGAGACATGCCTACCTAATGAGTGTGTGGCCCAGGAGACTTCAAACTAGAGCATCCAAGGTGCCCCAGCTTCCTCCATCTATCTAAATACAAAATCTAAGTTGGGATTATAAGGTCTCTTAAGACTTCAGAAAGATGTCTCTATACCGCAGTTTTTCCTTTTTTGCTTTCTTTTCTTTTTTGGTGATACTGGAATTTGAACTCAGGGCCTTGCACTTGCTAGGCAGGTACTCTACCACTTGAGCCACACCCCCAGTCCTTTTACCCTTTTGTTTTGTTTTTGAGACAGGATCTCATTAGTAGCCTAGGATGGCCTCAACCTTACAATCCTACCTCAGTTTCCCTGGTGCTAGAATTACATGTGTGCTCCCCCATGCCTGGCTCTCAGGCAAAACATTTTATCTGTAAAATTTATTATTGTTTTTGGATTTTGGTGCCAGTGATTGAACCTAGGGTCTTGCACGTTCTACGTGCTGCTCTGCCACTGATCCACATCTGCAACCCTACCTAAATACTTTGCAAGCATTTCTGACAAATCCTTCAATCAAACCGTATGGAAGATTTGGAGAGATTAGTAGGCAGCTTTTGTCTAAAGGTGTGAAGTGAACCAATATTCATACAGAGCCAACGAAGTTTCAAATGAAATTGTATCAGAAGAACCACTGACAGCTTGAACTGCAAGGGGCAGGCACACGAGCAAATGAAGTCCTTGGCCCCCCAAATTCTACCAGTAGAAAGCAGGCTACTGCTGCTGCCTACTCTGATGCAAACACATATTATTCTTCCTAAAAATGAAGGCAGGACTCGGCAGGCAGAGCTTCCCAGAAGGTGGGGTCAAAAGCCAGGAGACTTACTTCCAGGCTTTGAATCCTAATCAAGGAACCTCCAACATTTGCCTGGCTTGGTTTTGAAATTGACTCCATTTCACCCCTTTGAGCAGGATCTCCCATCTCACTGTTGAAATCTGGGAGTGTGTAGGGTGGGGGCAGGTCACTTGTCTCTAGATGACTGGTCTTCAGTTGAGGATGAAAGGTACTTGAGCTCTATTTGAGGAATTACATTCAAGGAGTGGCATCCATAACTATGTGCAGTTTATACACTGACATTCTGGATTTTAAGCTGTTGTTCTAGAGGGATGACTCTTTGGGGGTTCTTGAGAGAAAGAGAATATGTTTTACATTTGTGTTCAGGTAGTCGACTGACTTCGAAAGGTGGAGCCAAATTCCCTCCCCGTGAATGTGACTCAGTTTTCAGGAACTGAATGTGATAGATAAATGACCCTTATCAGATTATACAAAGGCATTGTGGCTTCCTCCTTTTGAGGTTTTCTCTCTTTCAAATCACTTGCTGTGTGGGAAGCCAGTGGCCGTGTTGCCATGAGAGGTTCATATGGCAAGTAACTGAAGTCTTTAGCCCAGGAGAAACTGAGGTCTCCCAACACCCACCAAGTTGGCTTAGAAGCAGATCCTCTAGAACCAGTCACACCTCCAGAAAAGAACCTTCAGGCTGGAGGTGTAGCTCAGGGGTCCAGTGTGTGCAAGGCCCTGGGGTCAATCCCCAACATGTATATACATAGGTATTTGTTATAAAAATGTTAAAAAGAAAAAGACCTTCAGATGATTGCAACCTCACAAAAGACTGTAAGCCAGAATTACCCAGTGAAGACTCCTAAATTCCCACCCCATAAAAACTGCAATATTTGTTATCTTATTATCTATCTATTGCTGTGTCACGCTCTTCAGTTTGGAGTATTTTGTTACACTGCACTAGATAACCGATGCACAAGGTCAAATCATTATTTTGAATGTGGTAATTGCAACATCATGGATTAGAGGTTGACAACTGGACACATTTTGCTATGTTAGCCTACAGCTGACAGTAAAAGTGACAATGAAAACATACAGCAAATGAGATACGTGTTAATTATAAGAGGAGGGAGGGTGGTGTGACTCTGAGATTTGCTTTTGTGGAAAAACCTGACTTTACAATGTTTCTTTGCTCTTTCCTAACAGCTCTCCAGCCACATTTTCTGAAGACTTGCTATAGACTTGGTTTGTCTGACACCCCTTTTCCTCTGATAACAAAACACCAGTTGGCATGTCAGTCCATGTTGGTCTTGTGACTTTATTAGCTTTTCTTTAGGCGTGGTTATGAAATGAAACTTGTCATCCCATCGTTTATCAGAGCTGACAGGGATGAATGTGGGACATGTATTTTCTTGAGGAGTTGTCTTTGTACTCTGGGGCTGCCAGGGTTTTATAATGAGGACAGAACCTGCCTGACAATGAAGCTAATACAGGAGGAAGGAGGGAGAAGGACATAGGAGCACATGCATTGTTTGCTTGTATCTAAATTTATCTTATTTTAAATATAATACATACATTTTAAATACAATACATTTCTTTGTGTCACAAAGAAATATTTATGTTGTCTCAGGCATTTATTATAGAGTTTCTTTTTCTGTGTATGTGGGGGGGTTGGTGGTGCTGTGGCTCAAGTTCATAGGGCTGTGCTCCAACAGAACATAACACAATTTTGAAACTAGCCATTGTCTAATATTCCTTTATTAAACTGTCTTCAGTCACCAGTACGGTGGCTCATACCTGTAATCCTAGCTACTAAGGAGGCAGAAATCAGGAGGGTCATGGTTCCAAGCCAACCCCAGGCAAATAGTTCCAAGACCCTGTCTTGAAAAAACCCTTCACAAAAAGGGTGGTGGAGTGGCTCAAGGTATAAGTCCTGAGTTCAAACCCCCGTACCACAAAAAAAAATTGTCTTCAAAAACTTATTGTAATAATTTTCTAGTTAAGAAATTTAGCAAAATCTCTGTTGCATTTTCATTCTGTATTGTAACAGACGTGTTTTATGCTTTTTCGTAAAATTATACTTTGACAATATTAATCCTTTATTATAAATATATCCCCTCTCTGCATCATTTTTTTTCTTTGGCGGGACTGGTGTTTGTACTCAGGGCTTCACGCTTGCAAAGCAGGCGCTCTACTGCTTGAACCACACCTCTTGTCCTCTGCATCCTTTTTATATTAATTTGGTCAATGGTGTCCTCCTGAAATTTTAAGAAGTCCTCTCCCCATCTCCCGCCAAGATTTGCTGTCACAAGACTTTTTTTTTTTTTTTTCGCTATGCGGTGCACATCTATAACCCTAGCTATTTGGAAGGCTGAGACTGGAGGATCTCAGTTGTATGGTCCCTGCAAAAGTAAGCAAAATCCCATCTCAAAGACAGGCACTGAGGGTGGCGCACGTCTGTGGTTTCCTCTGCCAGGAATTTCACGCTGAGTCCAGCCTGGGCAAAGGTAGCGCAAGATCCTACCTGGAAAACAAACCGAAAGCCAAAGGGCTCTCAAGTGATAGAGCAAAGCTGGAGGCCCTGAATTCCATCACTAGTACCGGGGAAAAATTTTTTTTAAGTTTCTGCATTCGTTTTTTTGTTTTTGGTGTAGATGGGGAAGGGGAAGGGAATGCCAGGCAAGCGCTCTGCATCCCCAGCCCGCTGCGCACATTTTAACCCGGCATCTGTCAGAAGTCCGCCGCGGGAGGGAAGGAAGGCTTTTCCTTGGCTGGAGCTGCATTACGGTTAAGGAAGCCTAGACTTCGGAGCAAACCATCTGCCACCTAGGTCAGCCGGTGTTTGGGATGAGGAAGAAACACGTGATCCAGGGCGTGAGTTTCCCGCTTTCCCCAAGGCAGGCGTGCCCTGGTGTGACAAGCGCCAGCGCACCTGCGTGCGGGCGGTGCCGGACGCGGTCATCCGAGGCCTGCGGTGCGGCTGGGCTCGGCGTCCCCGTCCCGGGAGCGTCGCAGCCCGCAGCGCAGCCTCGGGCGTGGCCTCGGCGGGGACCTGCGGCGATCTCGCACGGCTGGAGGCGGAGTCCGGGCGGGGCACGCGGTCATCTGACTCGGTGACTCGGCGGCGGCCGCGCTTCCCCGCTCCGAGCCGGGGTGCAGGTCCGGCCGGCAGGCTCGGACTCCACAGATCTCGCCGAGAGCCGCGGAGCAGCCATGGAGCCGCGCCCGCTGTCGCCGCGCTGGGATCGGGGGCTGGGGCTGCTGCTGGGGCTGCTGGCACTGGTGGCCCTGCTGGTGCAGGCCCCGCGCGCCTCGGCCGCCGTGACGCCAGCGCTGTGGCCCCTGCCACTCTCCGTGCGCATGTCCCCACGCCAGCTCCAGCTCGCCCCCGGGGACTTCCGCATCGGCCACGGCCCCAATTCCACCGCGGGCTCCTCCTGCTCCCTGCTGCAGGAGGCGTTTCGGCGGTGAGCGGCCCCACTGGGCGGGAAGGGGACCAGGGACTCGGGGGGTCGGTGAGGCGGGCCTCGCAGGGACGAGGTGCAGACCCTCACATCGCCCGTTTCACAGTCGGAGACCCCGGTTCCCAGCAGGGTGGTCGCCTGGCCAAGGTCACGGGTCTGGAAGGTGGCAGGGTGTGTGCTAACTCACACGGATTAAAATCCAAGGTTTTGACTTCCCCCTTTTGCCTCCCAAGGGACAACCTGGGACGCAGGCACCCTGGCTTGGGTACTTCTACCCAGTGGAACGTGTAGGCTTCTTGGTGTCAGTCGTCTCGGTTGTTCAGAAGGACAAACGAGATGGATGGAGGGAACACGAATTGGGGAGGGAAGCGGCCACCTCTTATTTTAAGGAAGTTCTGAGGGACGGTGATTGCATCTGGCAGGGCTTAGACAAGTTGACTGTCATTTACAGACCCATTTCACCCGCTGCTTGCTCTCCAAATGAATCTAACAACAGTCCAGGCGGCTGAGACCCCTAACTTGGAGCACTGTGATAGAAAGCTCTCTTCTAACTCAGTTCCATACAAAATCTTAAGTGGCGATCTGAGTGCTTTTATATGACCTGTACTTAGGCAATTAATTATCTGCTGTTTTTTTTGTTTCCTGGCAGACATGTGCTCTCTCTGGTGCTCTCTGACAGCCCTCTAAAAGCCTTTGAATTACTGAGCACCTCACATTTTCACAGTCCTCAGATCACGTGAATTGTGTCACTGGGAGGCAGCGCATGCAGAGCTAACTTGGATTGCATTTGGGGAGATACTGAATGTGCCACCTGCTGTCCCCTCACTGAGACCTGTGAGGTGGAACTGCCCTGAAGCATTGTAATTGGTACTAGTTGTGCTAACCCTCCCCCCCCTTTTTTTTTTTGGTGGTTCTGGGGTCTGAACTCAGGGTCTCATGCTTGCTAGGCAAGCTCTCTACCACTTGAGCCACTCTGCCATCCCTTTTTTTGTGGTGGGTATTTTCCAAAATAGGGTCTCAACAATTATTTCTCCAGGGCTGGCTTCAAACCGAGATCCTCCTGTTCTCTGCCTCCTGAGTAGATAGGATTACAGGTGTGAGCCATGGGCACCCGGCTTGTACTGCTTCCTTTCACCCCCAATTCTGTCTCTGTGTCTGGTGAATGCAATTATAGCTAAATGTTGCCTGCAGGACACCAAGCAGCTGGTGGAAAAGTACACCACCAGCTTAATCCAGGTGGTTTGGTTTCTGTTGAAGAGGCCAGAGATGCTGATGGCAGAGATGGCTCATTCTGTGCCACCAAAAGCTTCATGCTTTCTTCTTTTTGTCCAGCCAACGGAATACGGTCACCCTGCTTTGGAGGCATGTTCTAATAGGCCTTTGGTATTGAACCTGGTAATAGGTTGTCTTGGGTGATATTCAGGATAGTATGGAAAGTTACTTGAAGGTGGTCTAATAAAAGGTCATGTCAAGGATTGGGAATATTTTAAACACCCTTACCATGTTTGCCTTGGGACTCAGATTGTAAAATTGCAGCAAAAAAGAATGGGTGACCTCGTTAATGAGTACAAAAGCAGGACTTCAATTAGCTGTGAGATGCTATAAAAACAAGGCCCGGCATTTCCAGATAAGTGCAGATAATTACCTGAAGAGTTTACCTAACTCGTGGCCTATGTGGGCCGTTGACAGTAATTGTACCTGGCATTGTTTGGAAGCAGGTTATAAAACATGGCTAAGACGCAAAGCATGCAGGTTGAGTGTTCTAGGAACTCAAGGCCAGTGGTTGTCTCAGAGCAAAAGCATGGTAGGGTTGGAAGGATGTGGAGATGCGAGGGTGCTCAGAAAACTCTCTGTGGTGGGGAGCACACATAGCTAGGCCCCAGGTTGTTCACAGTTCTGTGCCTCCATTTTGAAGAGCCTAGGCTGTGTCGTAAGCCCTGCTTTTTATGGAGCAGATGCTTTTTTGTTAGGTAGTTTGGCTGGCAGGTCTGTGGCTGCCTCCTTAGCTTCTCTGTCAGTTTACAGTGTACTAGGCACTCACTTATTGTCTTTTATCTATTTATTTTTATTCATTTTTGCAGTATTGGGGCTTGAACCCAGGGCCTTCACCTTAAGCCACTCCACCAGCCCTTTTTTGTGAAGGGTTTTTTCGAGATAGGGTCTTAGGAACTGTTTGCTTTGACTGGCTTCAAGCCCCGATCCTCCTGATCTCTGCTTCCTGAGTAGCTAGGATTACAGGCTAGAGCCACGGGCGTGCCTGGTTTATGCTTTTTAAATGAATGATCCTAAAGTTCCTGAAAGACTAGATTGTACCTAACTTAGACCTCAAAGCTGGCCAACAAGATTTAAGCCTCCCTCTCCCTTTTTTTAGTGCAGTGCTGGGGATCTAACCCAGGGGCTTGTATGTGCTAGACCAGTGTTCTATCACTGAGCTGCATCCCTGGCTTCTTTCATTTCCTTTAGTTTTTAAACATTTTTAATTGTGGGCAAAATATATACAACAATTTTTAAGTATATACCCTGGTGGCCCTAATTTTCTTTAAATCTGTCAAGGTTTCCCTGAAAAAGGTCCTCCGTACCTTCAACCATTTTGTTCCCTCACTGGTTCACTTCCATATACTTGTAAAGCTCATGGAATTTTCCTATTCCTCCTTACTTCTCTGGAAAAACACAAGATATGCTTATGCCTGAGTAGCATAGACAACCTCAGGCTTTTCAAAACCAATAAACTCTTTAGCAGTAATGCGGTTCGAACTCAGGGCCTTGAGCTGCTAAAATCAACACAGTATTTAAACTTTTGCTTTAAAGCCTATCTGATCTTTCTTTAGCATCTTTAAATTTTTATTTACCATTCTTTCTCTGCTATTTGGGTACTAACGAGGTCGGTTTTTTGGTTGCTGTTTGTTTTCCTTTGAGACAAAGTCTCATGATGTAGCTAAAGTTGGCCTGGAATTCACTGTGTAGCCCAGGTTGGGCTGCAGCTGTCAGTCCTCCTGCCTCACCCTCCCAAGTTCCGGGACTACAGGTGTGCACTACACCTCAATTGGAGGGTACATTTTAAAGGCTCTGGTGAGAATTCTGAGGGCTGGTCACCTTCTTTGGGGGAATGAAACAATTAGATTGCTTTTGTTGGAAGGTAACAAGAACCCTGATTGATTTTGCTTAAGTAGTAAGAAAACTTACCACATGCATTACAAGTCCAAAAATCAGGAAGAATTTAGGGCTAGTTGTTTAAATGACTAGTGTCACCAGGGAGCCATATCCCTTCCATCTCTACTCTGCATCTTTACTGCAGTAGTCACAGATCTGGGTGTCACATGTAGAGATGCAGTGTTTTCTCTGTGTGCTTCCCAATACATATACCTCATCATGGTCAGAACTGGTTTTCACACCCAAGGGTTTGATTGCTGGTTCTTTTTTTGTTCATTAGTTTGTTTGAGACAGGGTTTTACTGTGTAGCCCAGCCTGGTCTAGAACTCAAGATCCTCCTGCCTCAGTCTTCTAAGAACAGGAATTACAGATGTGTACCTCCACACCTGGCCCTGATTGCTAGTTCTTACCAGGGTCTTCATTTGAGTCACTTGGGAGTGTGGGGGGAGCTTTCCAATTCCCATGTGTGGATTCCATTTTCAGAAATTCTGACCTGAAGGTCTGGACATCAGGATTTTCAAAGGGATCCTGAGGCGATTCTAATGTACAGCTTGGGTGAGAATTTCTCATTGGATTCAGATTGGCAGATGGATTTGAAAGTCGACCACAACGTCCACTAGCAGATACATATTTAAAATTTGGCTAAAATCTGTTTAAACTTGTTTAAATTTATTTCTCTCACAGATATTATGGCTATATTTTTGGGTTCTACAAGTCACGTCATGGTCATTCTACATTTCAAGCTGGAAAACAGTTACAGCAACTTCTTGTCACAATTGCCCTTGAATCCCAGTGTGATTCTTTCCCCAATGTGTCTTCAGATGAGTCCTGTAAGTACCTGTTGTAAAAGTATTATACACAGTCACTGGGGAAAATTAGTAAGTACAGTAAATGTAGAAGAGGAAGAAATAAGTCAGTCCTAACCCCAGCACTCAGACAGAATTAGCCACTTATTTCAGGTAGTTTTGATTTTTTGTTTGTTTATTTGTTTGTTTGCAGCACAAAACATTTAATGTTTTACATAGATCTAAACATATGTACATCGACATGAACACGGAGTAACTCTGGACATGTGGATTGCACACAAAAGTATTTCTTTTTTTGCATAATAATACATTCTACACATTGATTAATTTCACTAAATATTCCTTTGTGATGTAATTTTTAATAGCTTGATAATGTTCTGCCACTGTGTGGGAGAACTTCTTGGTTATTGTCTTATTTTTGGATACTAGGTAATTTCTTAACTTTTGTCTTTGAAGACAAATCTGTGTTTGTAGGCATGATCTCTCTAATTCTATGCAAAGGCAGTTCAGAGCTGGGTGGGCGGGATTGGGGTGAATAGAGCTGTTTCATTTGATTGACAATATAGTCAGTATGTAGCTCATGGGTTTTGTTGTTCCTTAAAACATTATTCTCTAGGGCTTTTCTCAAATTGATTGAAAGTAGTAAACAATGGACCATGCCAGTTCTTTTTCTTTCTTTTTTTTGATGCTGGAGAATGACCCCAGAGCTTCACACACACTAGCTAGGCAAGTGCTTTACCACTGAGTTGCATCCCTAGCTAAAGGCATGCTTTTTCTATGGGGTGTGCTGGCTGGGACCAGTGTGGAATTGTACAAAGAAGTGAAGAAGAACAATGTGAGGACAAGTGTAATATGAGATCAGGGCAAGAGGGAGCAGACTGGGGGAAATGGGTGTAAAACAGAAAGACTGCCACATATTTCGAGAAAAGTGAACCGTCTTGTCCTCAGTTAAGTACCAGTCTTCATCCTCCTGGTACAGATTTCTTAATAGATCCTTTTAAAAAATGGCTGTTTCTTTTTAGTTCTGTAACTGTTCTCAGGAGAGACATAGGATAATTTATTGGACATCAGCCATGTGATTTTGGAGCTATTCAGTACCCAGATGCTTCGTACAGCAATCTGAGATTAGATAGAATCTCAGATTCTTGGCCATTGTTTTGCCAAGGAAATTGTGCCGTCTACTGGTAACAGCAATACAGATATCATATTGCAAATTCTAAAAAATGGAATCATGGCGATTGCAGAACCATTTTATCTTCCTGTCAGTTTTGCAAACCCTCTCTTCTCCAAGACAAGCTTCTTGAGACAAGTGTGAAATTTTGGGGTTTCATGATTGTGAAATTTTCCTGTTTCAAGAGAAGGTAGTTTTAAGTCTTCATATCAGCTGATGTTGATAAAAGTTAATGGGTGTGTCTCAGAATAACAAGACATCAGAATGACCAGAATGTGAGAAAATGCAGGAGGGCAGAAGCGACAAATGTCAAAGCACTGTTAGGGGCTGGGTTGTGGGACTCAGTGGTAGAGAACTTGGTTAGCACATACCAGGCCCCTGAGTGCAATCATCAGTACTACAAAAGACTAACAAAACACTATCAAAAATAAAAACAGATACACCTTGAGAATCAGAAGGGAACAATTTTCCTCATGTAGAAAGCTAGTTACGTACATCAAAGATATTCCATGTGGCTTAGCTATTATAATGAATTGTAAACAAAACGGATGTCCACTGATAGAGGAATGGCTAAATATACGAAATCAATCTGTACTGCACAGCAGTTAAGAATAAAGAAGCAGTGTAATAAAACCAGACATAGTGCGCCGGTGGCTCACGCCTGTAATCCTAGCTATTCAGAAGACAGAGATCAGGAGGATAGTGGTTCAAAGTCAGCCTGGGGAAATAGTTTACAAGACCCTATCTTGAAAACACTCATCACAGAAAAGGGCTGGGTAGAGCTCCTGCCTAGCAAGCTTGAAGCCCTGAGTTAAAACCCCAGTGTCAAAAAAAAAAAAAGACCAGCCACAGAGGTCTTGCCAAGGTAAACCACTGACTTGGACAAAGGAAGCTATGTCGTGTAGGGAGGAAGCCACACGGGAACTCACACATAATGAGTGAAAATATAGCAATGCTATATTTTCTCATTACACAAATGTGTATGTAAATGTCCAGGAAGAGAACTAATTATTGTTTCCTTTGAGGAAGTTAGAGGGCCTGGATGGGCATCTCAAAGGGAATTTTACCCTTTTTTGTATATTTTTATAATTTCTGGAGAATATATTGATATGTTGTTTGCATATATGCACTCCAAACAAAAGTATTTACAGGGCAGAAGGGCACAGAAGGTTTAACTGAAAAGTCAAAAACACTACTTCTGCCCCTCATGAGGGAGATGATCGTTATTAACACTAATAATTTGATTTTGAAATAAATATTGAAATCCTGCAGCTATGTGTCTGTGTATTTAGAAAACCAAATCTTCTAATTGCTTTAAATGAGTTAGAATTCTTTTTAATTCCAGCCAGTCCTCAGGTATGGGAAAATAATCACACCAAGTACACCCAAATTGTATGGAGCTGTAGCTCTTTCTGGGAGACCTGAAAGTTACAATGTGACAGAAGTGTTTGTTAAACAGTGCCTGATGCAACTGTGAGCTGTAGGCAGGTGACTAGGAATTTGAGATGGATGAAGGAGACAAGACTACATTGTACTGCTAGTAGCAGTGCAGTTCTGAGGCTGGCATTTAGCTCACTCAGCACTGGAAGAGGCCTTTCCATCGGAAGACTGTCAGCTGAGAGTCATGTGATCGACACAGATCTTTCCCTTCCTGCAGCCACGTGTCATGGGGCAGTAGTCTGGGTGGTGGTGGTGGTGGCCAATGATCCAGCCCAGAGGGTGCAGTATTAAATCATTAACCTCCTGTGGCAAAGTCTGCATCTGCCATGCCTTAGCTTTTGGTCTCTGTCCCCTCCTGGGCCTTAGTGCGGTTGCTTCCTTTACCCACCCCCAGACTTCTCTACAAGACTAAACCACTTATGGGTAAACCTTGGGCAGCTGGAGCCCCGTTCTTGATGATGTGAATTTCTTACTGAGTGGGACAAAGCTGAATTAAGCTAAAGGGAGTAAAAGAACAAGTCTTAGGGCAGATTCCAGGTGATACTGGGGGAAGGTGGAAAGTGGAAAAAGCTTCAGGGAAAGAGTGGAGATAATTCTCTGTCCCCAAGGGGAGCAGCATAACTCTCTTGGAGGAAAAGATGACACCTGAGTGCCTGACTTGAACAGCTCAACTGCCTGGCAGGCAGAGTTCAGTGCTGGGCATGTGGCGTTTAAGGAATCCACAGGACAGCTAAGTGGAGGTATACCAGAGGAAAGAAAAGGAATGGTCCAGAAATACCGGTGATATGTGTAGAAAATATATTGTGTGTCATCAAGGAATTAACAAAAGTTCCCCCTCCCCCATACAGATACTCTACTTGTGCAAGAACCAGTGGCTTTGCTGAAGGCCAACAGAGTTTGGGGAGCATTACGAGGTACGTTCCATGCAGACTCACTGTCAGTTTCTATTGAGGCAATATTTTCACTTGGTGCTTTGAGAAACCAAGCACAGCAAAATGGCGCTGTTACCTTAGGCCCTTTACAGAATGCTTTATTTAGTTCCAGAGTGACTTCTGGGAAACACGCTACCCAATGCACAGGAGAAACCTCGTTTGACCTTTTCAAAAATATTTGGGGGCTACAATGCTCCGACAATGCAGTACTTCATCCATGCTTTTGGGGCTGACTGCTGTAAATGGCCACAGTCATTCTGCTTAGAGATTTTGTTTCATCACTCATTTCTTGCTGCCTCTAGTAATAAGAATTTCTCTCCCCAGTTTAAAATTCCTGTGGATTTAGAGACATAACCAAGGTAATAGGAAAGAACAGTGTGGAAAGCAGATAGGGTACACAGTTGGTTAGAGACAGTGAAAAGCTTACAGCTTTTCCAGTGAATTTCAGAGTCTGAACCACAAAGTTTGGCACTGGGTCATGTACTTTTGTTGTTTAAAAGTTTCTTTTACCTCTTTTTCTAGATAGCTATTGCACTGACTTCCAAATAGAGTTTTTAACAAGGGAACTTAAAAAAATATGAGGTAACCAACTACAGTTATAGTAATTAAAAATATAAAAGATTTTTTGTTTGATTCAGGTTGTTACCTAAAATAATCATTGTTTGCCAAGCACAGGTGGCTTATGCCTGAAATCCTAGCTACTCAGGAGGCAGAGAGCAGGAGGATCACAGTTCAAAGCCAGGCTAGGCAAAAAGTTCTCGAGACACTATTTCTAAAAAACCCTTCACAAAAAAGGGCTGGTGGAGGGCTCAAGATGTAGGGCCTGAGTTCAAGCCCCAGTACCACAATAAATAAATAAATAAATAAATAAATAAATAAATAAAATAATTGTTGTATGTTCTTATGGCCATGGATGGTATAGCTATAATTCAAAATAGAATGTGAAATTATCTATAGATATTTGCTATAAATCTGACTATAATCATTATCATTAGGATCATTTATATATAATGTTGTAAGGTTTTATTTCTGATCTGCCTATCTTTTTGGGGTCTGTTGGGGGAATAGATTCATATTGTTCATCCTGATCCATACCCAAATGAACTTCAGAGAGTATGCAGTGACTAGATTCTAGTCTAAGAAGTCTTTGTTTTCTTTGCTATCAGACTTTCAAAGCAGTGTATTCTAATTGAGTTTATTGTTATTTAACAGAAAATTTCTATTCTTCTCAGCATAAACATGTGTTGGGGGAAGGTGGGAAGAGAGGAAGGCATAACAAAAAGGGGTACGAACTATTCTTAGGTTAAAATTCTCCCTGGCTATTATTGTGATTAGCTAGAATGATGAATCTTGATAAAGTCAAGAGGAATTAGTCTGTAACCCAGTGTTGTAAGGAACAACCTACTTGAGTAAAATATGTTCAGGAGATAGTCTTTGCAGCTGTAAGTAAAACACTGTAAGTTGTAAATTGGGCCTTAATTTATAGTTTCATGGTAGTTTTTTAAAACACGTTCCCCCTCAGTTAGCTTTAGGTACCTTACAAATTAACTGTACTACTTGATCATAAAAATTCTCAAAATGCTATCCATGTATTAAGGAATTGGTGTTTTGTTAAGTCATTTGTTTTGTGTGTAACATGCAAACGAAACACGGTGGGTACAGCGAAGTAAAGCATACTTGTTAACTGAATAGAAAAGGCAATGGGAATTTAAAAGGTCAGCTTCAATTTTAGAAAATATGTTAGTGAATGCTGGTATTACACTGTATTTTACAGCACCATATTTAATGTTGTTTGCCATATCTGGTTATGAGTCTGAATAGTATAATTTTATTGTCTCAATTTATTGTCTTATAAATTAATACAATAAATTTTTACTTTCCTTAGGTTTAGAGACCTTTAGCCAGTTAGTTTATCAAGATTCCTTTGGGGCTGTAAGTATGATTATTATGTTATTAAAAGTTGTCAAATAGACACATTACTATTAGAAAAAGTGTAATCTATTTGGCTACTGTTCCCTGAAAGTTTCTTTTCTCCAAATATGTATCTTAGCTGGTAAACTGTAAGTTTCATGCTTTTTTATTGTTCTAAATTAATCTTGTCCAATCTTGTAGAGATAGTTGTAGTCTTCATCGAGCTCAAGTCAAGAGGACATTCTAAAACTAAATCAAAATTTTATTTTGTCTCCTAGTTCACCATCAATGAATCCAGCATTACTGATTCTCCACGGTTTCCTCACAGAGGAATTTTAATCGATACTGCCAGGCACTACCTGCCTATTAAGACTATTCTTAAAACTCTGGTAGGTAATCCATCTCTTTCTTCTAACCTATTGTCCATTTTGAAGCTGTGTCCCTTTTGTGGGGTTGCTTTACAGGATTACTTGTGCTGCCGTGCAGGTTAAAGCAAGAAGATTTGTGTTTCTTGTCCTAAGTCTAAGCTCTGGGCTTGCTTCCTTCCTTCCTAGGGAAGTGTGTTTCCTCAGCTGTGAAATGAAGGCTCTCCTTAGGGAGAGCTCCCCTTTTCACTGGGAGGATCACAGACACATGTAGGTAGCCAAGACTGTTAAGAGAAAGACAAGTATTTCTCACTATATAGCCCAGGCTGGCCTAAAACTTGATATCCTCCTGCCTCAGTCTTCCATGTGCTAGGCTTACAGGTGTGGCTCACCATGCCTGGCAAGAAAGATGTTTTAATACTGTCATTGACCCTCTATGTGTACTCTTTTATTTCTCAAATTGAGTGTGTAGACTTCTGGTTTAGAATATATGACCACCATACTCTCAGCTAGTGTCCTTTAATTTTTTCACCTACACTTTTTTAAAAAGTGGCATAGCATAGAACGAGGTCTGGGGGCTGACTGCTTTATACCTGGGTGAATGTTCTAAAAGAATATGGTACCTCAGGGGCTGGGGGGAGTTAGGAAGAAAGTTGATAATACTTGTTTTCTTCTAAAGACTTACCAGTTCATCCCCATCACCTGCCAGCTGGCTATACAGCATTCCCCTTCTCCAGCCGCTGTTCATCCACTGCTTTTAGTAGCCATAGCTGCTTCTTGCCTTGCTCAGTTATTGCCAAGATGGCTGCCAAGTGGTGATTTTTCTTCTCCTAGTTTCATCAGTTCTTCTGTCATTTATTAGTTGGGATTTTACGGTAAGGTAGAGCATTCCTTTCTTTTTTCATGTAGGTCCTTATCATTTTCATCAATATGGATCACTGTTTTATTCAGGTTATAATCTGTTGCCATTCCTTTTTAATAGTCAAATTGTCCAGCTTTGGCCAGTGGGAGTCCTTCACATTGGCTCCTACACCCGTTGTCCCCTAAATCTCTGAGTACTTTCTTTTTAGCACCGTATGTCCCAGGCTTATTTTTCCACCCCAGTCAGTGTTCAGTCAGAATATCATTTGAGGGTGAATGATATTCCGAAACCCAGACTTAGACTGTACATGTGCTCACTGCTGAGGAACTCACTCCTGCCAGGCCTCTCTAGACAGCTAGAAAATATGCGTATGTGTGTATGCACACTACGTTTTTATGAACACACACATGCATCTTTCTCTGCTTTTCTGTCTATATCAAGGGTTGGAAACCATAACTCAGGGATCAGATCCATTAACCATTGAGAGTCAGGAAAAACAAAATATGTCTCTTCCTCTACTGTCATACCATAGTCAACATGAAAGACTTCTCTTAGCTCTAAAATACGTGAGTATTTCCCCCACCAGCAAGCAAGCAGTTCTGCAGCAGGCACCAGCTGGGTGTCCTCTGATCCAATTCATTTCTGACACTGTCTGCTTGGAGATAGGCTCAGATCCCACAGGTTGAAGGCTCAGCCCCCCAAGACTGCCCTCTCCCCCAACTTTAGATGGCCGTCCTAAATCCACCTTTGCTCATGACTGGTCCACTTACAAGTCAGGGTTCCCGTAACTCCGTCCTCAGGTTCCACTAAAGCTTTTGTGGCTGACAGAACTCAGAGAAACACATTTGCCAGCTTTTTTAAAGGCTATAATGAAGAGGTGCATAGGACGAGGAATGGGAGAAGGGGCATGGAGTTTCTGTGCCCTCTCTGGGCTTGCCACCCTCTGGGAACCTCCTTTGGTACAGCTACATGGAAGCTCTCTGAGCCCTGTGCAATGGAGACCTCATTGCACAGGCATGATTGAGCCATGCACAGCCATGTCAAAATGTGGTCTGCTAAGAGACTGACTGAGTGGGGTAGTCCAGCAAGGCCTGTCAGCTTCAGCATTCTTCTTGGCCTATCTGTATAGCATTCCTCCCTCTAGGGTATAGGGCAGGATCCCTCTGGAATGAGGAAGGTCTTATAACCTTCTATTCAACAAGGGTAGGTCAGAGAATTTCTTTAAGGTCAGTACTAGGACAGAAAGACAGGGGAAGATTAGTCTTTATGACCAGCCTTGAGGAAAAGAAGTTCTAGTTTCTATAGCCTGCCTTGGAGAGGGAGTTAAGAACCAGGAACCATGCTTACAACCTCAAAAATATATCCTCATACCACAGGCATCTATCTTTCAAAAAGAATTTTATTGGAATATAGCCACATCTGTTTACATACTGTCTTAGTCTATAGCTGCAGAGTGGAGTAGTGGTAACAGCTCAAAAGCTGAAGAATTTACTATCTGACTCTTAAAGTTTGCCAAATTCTGGTCTATATTAAAAACTGAGTTTGTTCTAATATAGTCAGGTCTGATCATTACCTCATATTCTATGACCTTGAATACATTTAGTGATTGGCACAGTCCCCTGGTACGTAAGCACTTTCCCAATCGCATCAGTCAAAGTCCCTTCATTCCTGATGAAGGTGGAAAGGAGGCTTTAAGTTTTAATGATGTGGATAAGGTAAATCTACCCTCTCTTATTTTTTTATCCTTTTCAAATGGTCTGTTTATGTTTTATGTAAATATTGTTTATTCCTCCGGAGTACACATTAAATCAGTATGTCAGCATGCCCAGAGACTTCTCTGGGGATTTGGATGGGTAGTATATTGAATTTGTAAAGAATTTCTTTTATTTTTCAGGGTTTTTAGAACTGTAGGAATTATAATTCTTGATGTTTAAATGAATGCCTCATTTTTCCTCTGCTCCATTCTCAAACAGTAGTAGCTAAGAACAGTTTCCCATTCCTGGCACATTCCTCTCTCTCTCTCTCTCTCTCTCTCTCTCTCGCTCTTTTTTTTTTTTTTTTTTTTTGGTGGCACTGGGGTTTGAACTCAGGGCCTCACACTTGCTAAGCAGTGGTTCTTACCTCTTGGGCCAGTCCGCCAGCCCTGCACACTCCTAAATTCTAGGGAATTCCCAAGTTTGCTCTCCTCCCACGGAGCAGTTACAGCTTCCTGTCTAGAATAAATGTGGCCTGTGTAGACTTTTTGAATAGAGACTTGCCACGTAAACTATGTATGAAGAATTTAGACTTTTTCTGTATTCTTTCTTTGCTGTAAAAGAAATTTTACCAGGAAGCAGGCTTATTGAAAGCAGTCCCACACAGTGAGATGTGTTACGGATTGTGTGTTATTTTTCTGGCATATAATGAGTAACATGCTTGCCTGCAGGACGCCATGGCTTTCAACAAGTTTAATGTTCTCCACTGGCACATCGTTGATGACCAGTCTTTCCCTTTCGAGAGCGTCACTTTCCCTCAGTTAAGCAACAAAGTGAGTAATTCACGTTATTGTAGTCTGTACACAAAACCTTTGGTATAGCTTCATTACAAGTTTATCACTGAAATGTTTTTCCTTATAAATACAATCAAGGTGTAAAAGTTGGATATTTGTGGTTTAAAACTTTTTTTTAGGTTATAGCCTAGCACCTTAGATCCATAAATTTCTTGTTATTGTTATATTATAAATGTTACTATAATTATTGTCATACATGTTATTGTAAATGTGAATAATCTGTAGGAGCAATATAAATTCAATTTTTAACACTTCACGTAGAAGACCTGAATAACTCATGAATAACATAGTTAAAGTATTCATCAGGAAGTCCAAACAGTATATTTGTTGGAAATGTGTAAGTGACTGTTTCACACGAAGTGGGGCATTTTAGAGATGAATGTTTTCTGAGGAAACATGGGTAGTCTCTGTTGGACGTGCTCACATGGACTGTTCTAGATCAATAGCACTCAGGAGATCCTCAGAGCTACCTAGTTTAATTCTTCTATAATCCACAGCAAGCAGCTGACAGCCAGAGAAGTTATGTCAAGTTGTAGGTAGGAGGGGGCAGTCAGGGCTCTGTCCTCTAGACACAATTCTAAAACTTTCTCTAATGGTATGATGTGGTATCAGTAAGCACTTGTGTTACTGTTTTAGCTTAATTTTGTTTTTCCACTTATCATGGATAGTTTCAAACACCACAGAAAGGAATTAATCCCATGTTTCATCGCTCAGCTCCAGTAATCCATACACGGCCAACTTGTGTCACTTGTGTTCCTGTAGACTCCACAACCCCAAACTGTGTTGTTTTGAATCAAATTTCAAATATCGTATCTTGTATGACATTGATGGTATATATCATATCTCATTTGTAAAAAGGCCTGATTTTTAAAGAAACGTAACCATAATACATTATTTCAGCTGAAAAATTAACAATAATTTAGATAGCCAATTAGCATTCATTTTCCTTCAAGTGCCTTTTCCTTGGTTTTACAAAAACATTTTCTTGAGGGGTGGATGTGATCAAAGTACATTACATGCATATATGGAAATGTCATGGTGAAACCCCTTACTATGTACAATTTAATATATACCAATAAAGTAGGAAAACCAAAACAAAAACTTTTTTTTTTGTGGTGCTGGGGTTTGAACTCAGGACCTCATGTTTGCTAGGCAGGTGCTCTACCACTTGAGCTACTCTGCCAGCTCCCAAAACAGAAGCATTTTATTTGCATTGGGACTCAAATAAGGCCCCCACACGGTGACCAGTTAATGTCTGCTGAGTCTCTTCTAATCTACAGGTGCTGCCTCCACCTCTTTTTTTTCTTGTCAGTTACTATTGTTGAAGAAACTGAGTCTCGGGTCCTATGTCGTCCCCACAGTCTGGGTTTTGCTGAGTGCATACTGGTGACAATTATCACGTCCTCAGTACGCACTTTAAACTGCTAGTTACATCTAGACTTGACTAGATACAAAGCTGATTTGGGGGGCTGGAGGTCAAAACACCTTTTGAGGTGTTCAGCATTGATAGCCTACACTTAGAGAAAGCTGCTAACAATTCCCTTTTGGGGGGCCATTCTGGAGTTTGAACTTGGGGCCCTGTGCTTCCTAGGCAGGCACTGTACTCTTAAGACACACCTCCCACCCAGGAATACCTTTTAGCAGACCTTTATCCTTAGTTACAACCAATACTGATTTCTGATTTGCTAAGCAACACAGAAGGGATGACTGAAGCAATCTTTCAGAATAATCAGGTCACTTATACAGCAGATCTATGGGGGAATTAAAAAAGCTTATAGTAAAGTGACTTTGAAAACCAAAAAGTACACTGCAATAATGAGTGAGTTTTGATTATAAAATTGAGAAAGGCAATGCTTTTAGAGGTTTCACTTTGGAGACAAACATTTTGCTCTTGTTGTGTTTCCATGAAGTTGGAATAACACAATAGTAGACATTCTTAAAATGGGGCACTGATGGAACTCTGATATTATCAGCAAATCTGATAGCACTAATTTGAAGTGTTCCAAGAATTTATTTATAATATTATTTGGCAAAAGCTCCCAAATGGGTGTCATTCTTTTTTTTTCTTTTTTGGCAGTACTGAGGTTTGAACTTAGGGCCTCATGCTTGCTAGGCAGGCACTCTACCACTTAGCCATACCTCCAGCCCTGGTATCATTCTTTAAGTATGTGTGATTTATCAGAAATTTGCTTTCTGTTTTGTGGGAATTTCCTACCCCTAAAACTACAAAACTACATTATTTTAGAATGAATCATCATCCAGTATCACATGTAATGCCTTACAATAGGAGAAAACCAACTGTCACATGTCAAAGTGCAAAAAGAATTGTTAACAATTTCCAGGACCAAATCCACTTTGTTCATTTTAACTTGACTATTACAGGGAAGCTATTCTTTGTCCCATGTTTATACACCAAATGATGTCCGTACGGTGCTTGAGTATGCCCGACTATGGGGGATTCGAGTCATACCAGAATTTGATAGTCCTGGACATACACTGTCTTGGGGAAAAGGTAAGGAGTTTTAGTTTTATAAATTGCAAAAAGTGAATGCTGTGGTCCCAACTGTAAACAAGTCACTTGTCTAGATACTGCTGGAAAGCCAGGGGAAAAAGAAAACATAAAAAAATGACTACAGGTGGAACATGGTAACTGAATTTAGAAAGTTTCATGGATAACATTTAACATGCTTTTGAGAGATCAAAGAGTGTTTCTGGTAGAGGGAATAGCATGAGGAAAGGCATTCAAAGAGTGAGATGTTCAAGTATTTAGTGGGAATAGAGTGTAGCAAACAGTAGAAAGCACTGTATCCCATTGATTAAGGCTTGGGGCCCTGGTGCCAGGCTGCTTGCTGTTTAGAAACGAAATGTTGAGCAAGTTATATAACATTTCATTTTGTTTTCCCCATCTGTAAAATAGGGATATTAATAGTAGCTACCATATAATTTTTTTGAGGATTAAATAAATGGAAATAACACATATAGCAAAGTATAGCATTTCTAATTGTGTAACACATACTGTTATCATGGTAGACATGGGGAAGAATAGTGGGAGGAAATTTGAAAGGAGTATATTATCAAAGGCCTCAGAGTGAAGAATGTGGGCTTTATCAGCACACCCTGGAAACCAGGGCAAATTTCTTATTAGAGAAGTGATAGGATGGGACTCACATTTTGGGAAAAACCTTTGTGAAAGTGACAGATTAGAAGGGGAAAGAGATTGAAGTCCTACATCAGGAGGCAATAATGGGAATAAAAATAAAGGACAGAACTAAGAGATATTCTGAAAATACAATTCACAGAATTTGGCAACTGAATGATACCAGGAGAAGGAACGAGTTATAGAGGTTGGTAGAGCCTTTACTAGAATGTGGCAGGCAGAAGCTAGAGAAGTGAGCTTAGGGAATGGGAAATTTGATTTTTGACAGATCATATTTGAAGTACAGCTAAGAATTCTAGTTGAATTGAAAATATGGATTGAAGCTCAAGGAAAAGGGTTGGGGCAAGCTGGAGATTTGGGGATCATTGATATTTGAAGTTGATAAAAATCTGAGGTTGAATGAAAAGGGAGACAGAGGCATTAGGATTCAGGAAGCAATGCTTCCTCATCTTACTTGAAAGAAACCTCGATAGTAACTCTCTATAAACATGCTTATCTTTCTGTATGATTTTTTAAAGCTTCAACAAAATGAAATTTGTTGGTCTGGACTTACAATGGCTCCCCTTAAGAGTTTTTGACATATGATCATGTCAAAATGATAGATATTCAATAGAAACCACACTGAATTTTGATCTTTTCCCATCTAGTGATAAGTGGTAATGATACCCATCCACTAGAAATGTACTTAATGGGCCCCAGTCCCATGTGATCACAAGAATAAACAGCCCATACTCTCTAGTGTGCTGTATTGCTGAGTTATGATATTTAATATGTTAGGTGTGTTAACTGCATTTTTGACTTAATGATATTTTCAATTTATATGGGGTCTATTGGGATATACCATCACCTTAGGTGGAGGAGTATTTGTAGCATGATGACATGCAAAGACAGGTTTTTGTGACCAATACCCTTTCCTAAAACGAACCTTTTGTGTTTTCTTCTAGGTCAGGAAAACCTCCTGACTCCGTGTTTCGAAAGCAGAAATCAGGAACAAGCTGTTGGGCCTATAAACCCCATTCTAAATACAACTTATATGTTCCTTAGTGCATTTTTCAAAGAAATTAGTACTGTGTTTCCAGATCAGTTCATTCATTTGGGAGGAGATGAAGTGGAATTTATATGTTGGTATGATGACGCTAAAACCCCTAATTGTTAAAACTGTTGCACTGGAAGTATAGGTTGGAGGGGCTCCATGTGAAAAGGGGCTTGGGGTAACATCTCTGTCTGTAAAGGGTGTAAACTGGGCAACACAACTCCTGAGGCAGTTGATTTTTGGAGAACATACATTTGGGTGGTGTGACAAAAGCTCAGGAAGTAGAATCAAGATGTAGAAGAAAATGGAGATTTAAAAAAAGACTATAGCCCGGCATAGAAGTGCATGCCTACAATCCAAGCACGTAGGTGGCTGGGGCAGGAGGATTCCAAGTTTAAGGTCAGCCTGGGCTGCATAGTGAGATGCTGTCTTTAAAAAGACTATAATGAACAAGAACACCAGAGGGCAATAATTAAATGACGAAGATTTTTCAAATAAGAATCCTTAGATTTTACAAACAACCTTAGATGAGGGGATGTGGAAAGCCTTTTTTTTTTAATGGAAAAACAGCTTCTGAAAAAGATGCTTTGCAATGGAAAAAAAACTCATAAGATTTTAGGCTTCTTTTATACTCTATAGGTATCAATAGTTTTAAGTCTGCACAACTGATGTTAGGGATATGTGCTATTTCAACAATAAACTGGGCATATCAAACTGTTCATGAAATTTTAATTGCTGTTTTGTTTAAGGGCATCAAATAAAAAAATCCAAGATTTCATGAAGACAAAAGGCTTTGGCCAAGATTTTACAAAACTAGAAGCTTTCTATATTCAAAAGTAAGTTGTTCAAAAGCCTACTTATCAATACTTTTTTTCACAAAAGTTAAAGCTATTATTTACTACTGTGCTTTTCCATTTTTCCCTCCACTTATTTCCAAAGTGTAGATGTGAAAAGCTTTCTTTAAAACATGTTCACGATGTTAGTGATCTGGTGACTCAGTGTTTTGCAGTAACTGTTGAAATACAGGAATGAAGTCATGTATTGTTAGAACTCAGAGTCCTGGCTTCCCTGTCATCTTCACTACCATCCAGTCACTGGAATTCATTCCCTTTTGTCAACTCCTGAACCATCTCTTTTGGTCCCTACCTGGACTATGTGATACAGTAGCCACAGCCACGCCGTTGTTTATATTAAGTAAAATTAAAGAATGATAAAAAGTCAGCTCCTCAGTTGCATCACACATTTAAAGTGCTCTGTAGTGATGAGGCTGGTGGCTGCCATATTAGAAACCAATGAGCATTGCCATCATGGTAGAAAGCTCTACTGGATTGTGCTGCTCTAGACTAGGGACCAGCAAAATTTTCTGTAACGCGCCTGAGCTTTAGGTTTCCTGGGCCACATGTAGTTGCACATCCTTATTTTATTTACACAGTGTTTTACAGACATTAAAACCATTCTTACCTATGAGTCATACAAAAAGAGGCTGAGGCTGTTTGCCAGCCCCTGCTCTATACCATTCACTTGACAAGCCCACAGTCCAGTCTGTTCCTATTCAGGTTTTGTGTGAATTATTATCACTTATCCTGCACAGCACTTAGTGTTGTCTAAATGTCCTGTAAATATCTGTGGACTGTTGACCAATAGTTAAATGTTATTTAGGTGACATGACAGACTAGATGATGGTTTCCTTTATTCTGAGATGCCCATAGAATTATCAGAGTGCTGTTTGTACAGCTTCCTATGATTTGCCTACCAAGTCAATTTGAGGTCACTTCTTCTTGCCTTCAAGACATGCTTAGCTCATGCATTCAAGCAACGATTAATCCCCTCTACTATTTTAGGTTCTGTGCCGTGAACTAAAAAGAAAGAACTACTTGGGTCACTGCCCAACTTTAGCTGGTTCTGCCATGCAGCTGTGTTACACCTCTCAATGGTGCAAATGTAAACACATTGATAAGCCTGTGATATGAAATAACTTTTTAATTTTTTTCAATGCTAGGCTTTTGGACATTATTACAGCCCTAAATAAGGGATCCATCGTCTGGCAAGAGGTTTTTGAAAATAAAGTGCAGGTAAGAATTATGAAGACAAACTGCATCTGATTCTGATGAGTGACTTGATACTTCCTCCTTCTCAAGCCTTCCTCCCCTACCATATCATTAGTTACAAGCTGAAGTATTTTGAATTAAGTTTCTTCTTTATACAGAGAGCAGAACAGATAAAAATAAACGAGTCTTTGTTGCTATTAAGGTAATTTTACATAGCAATAAAGTTGTCAGTGAACACTTAAAAAATATTTTCTCTCTGACACAGTCAACATTCTCTATTTTCCATGGGGCAATGGATTTGCAAGTCCAGCTACTAGTATTATGTTTCCAGAGGGGCTGGTGATAGCCTCATGGTTCCAAAGTAAGTAAAACATTAGTGTGACAAAAATGTGCAAATCTTTGCCTTAGTTCATGGCACCTACGATTGATAAAACTTGAATAGCAATGAAAAAATACAGTGAACAGCAGATGGCACTCTTAGGGAAAGGGGGGAAGAAGAAAAGGAACAATTCATCAATTGTATGTGCTCGATCTAATAATATGTATTGCAATCTGTGACTTTAACAGCTTCGACCAGGCACAATAGTTGAAGTGTGGCAAAGCACTAATTATCCTGGGAAATTAAGTGATGTCACAGCGGCTGGCTTCCCTGTAATTCTGTCTGCTCCTTGGTACTTAGACTTGATTAGTTACGGGCAAGATTGGAAACATTACTATGAAGTGGAACCTCTTAATTTTCATGGTAAGTAAAGCAACAATCATGACCTTGGCTTGTTAGTTTCTTTCCTTAAACTTCCACTCAGGAAATCAAACCCAGATATCACTACTAACTGTTCTCCCTTTTATATGGGTTCTTGGTTTTGTTTTTTGTTTGTTTGACATAGTCTTAAACTCTGAAAGAGACCATGTACTCATCTAAATAAAAAGAAATTCAAAAGTAGATCTCCTTAGATTTTACCTCCATTTCCCCGATTCGTTCTCTACATTTGAAAGAGAGTTGACTACATTAACCTTGCAGGATACCTAAGCAAAGTTCCAGTTTAGTTCTGTGGGTTTCAGGATGTCTGGGGGTAGGCATCCTTGGATGGACAGCTGTGGAAGGGAATGTCTGAGCAGTGCACTTCAGGCTCTCAGATCCCCTTCATTGACAGTTCTGCTACATCTGGAACTGATATTATCAGTCTTTAGTATAAAATTTCCTTTGGAAAAGGATTTTGCTATTAAAAATTTGAAAACTGCAGCTCTACTGAGAACTGATATGACTTTCTCATATGAATGCTTTTTAACATTCTATGAGGATCAAAAAACCATGGTTACTATAAAAATAGTTACGTTCTCAGGTTTGTTTTTAAATAGAAATTGAAGGAGATATAGTGGTTATAGCCCCTTAAAATGTAGCTAGTTGCCAGGCACCAGTGGCTCACACCTGTAATCCTAGCTACTTGGGAGGCTGAGATTGGGAGGGCTGCAGTTCAAGGCCAGCCCTGGCAAATAGTTTGAGAGACCCCCCCCCCATCTCCAAAATAACCAGTGCAAAATGGACTGGAGGTGTGGCTCAAGTGGTAAAGCTCCTGCTTTGCAAACATGAAGCCCTTAGTTCAAACCCCAGTTCTCGCCTCCCCCCAACACACAAAATGTAGCTCGTTATTCCAACTTGTATTTCCTGGTGTACTATTAATAGGCATGGGGTGGAGGAGGGGTTGGATTCTGATCTCCAAGTAAGTTTGCATAAAACTATGAAGAAGTATCTTTAGTACTGGCCCACCACATTGTGCTGATAAGCACTGTGAACCATGGGTTTAAAGGGGAAATTGGTTTTGCCTGTGTATATAATCTTTACGCTGCTTAACTTATACCCATTCAATGATTTTAATGTAGGTTCTGAGAAGCAGAAACAGCTCATTATTGGTGGAGAAGCTTGTCTATGGGGAGAATATGTGGATGCAACTAATCTTAGTCCAAGATTATGGTAAGAACTGAAGTGATAACATTGGAGTTTAGAATAAAGTGTTGGCTTTCCTTCCACATCTAAGTAGGAAAGCACTAAGAATTTCCCCAGCCACATAGCTTGGATTTTTTTAAAAGAAAACATGAATTCAAACTGCTTTGGAGGACATATGGTTTAAATTTTAGGCCTCGGGCAAGTGCTGTTGGCGAGAGACTCTGGAGTCCCAAAAATGTGGTAGACATCGATGATGCCTACAAGAGATTAACAAGGCACCGCTGCAGAATGGTCAGGTAGGAGAAATACTTATTTTTTGAGCTAGGATGCTCTTAAGTTCATTTTTAGTGTTAAGTAACTTCTTGGATTTTTTTTTGCTATGTCACCTAAGAAATGGTGATTTAATTGATGTAACTTGGAGATATTCATGAGTGTCTTATAGGTATATAAAAGTTTAATGTAACTTGTAACTGCCTTCTTAGAAGGCTTGGCAGCCTAAATTAGCATTAATAGATCACAATTGTTAAAGTGATTCAAGATGAAGCTTGAACATCTTTATTCATGTTATCTGTCTACAGACGTGGAATTTCTGCACAACCTCTCTTTACTGGGTATTGCAGCCACGAGAACAAAATGTAAAAATGAAACAAAACAAGAAGGGAAAGACCACAGCAATCTGAACTGAAATCACTTTCATTTTGAAATCATGTAAATTAAAATTTGTTAGACTTCTTTTTGAATAAAGTATTTTTATTGATTGACTCTCTTATTTTATATTACATACAGAAGACCAGCATCTTTATTGTGAGATAAGTGTAAAAAAACAAAAGCACACCCCTCTGTACCACTCAAAATATTCCATAGGGCTGAATTTAACTATTCACAGTAAAACTTCATAGGGGCAACATGGTTCAGGTGCATTTACTGGAAACAAAGCACATTTCTTATTATTTAATAGAATGGGCAGCTCCAGTACCATTATCAGTTTTCAAGTTACATCTTTCATCTAATTCTTTGAGTGTACTGAAACAGTAATTTTTTTTCAATAGATAAAACATTTCTTACTGAAAATGAAGTAGGGAGGTATATGCTCCTGAACTTTTTCCATTCCAAGGACCTAAAGCACTCAGGTCGAGCCACGTCTCTGGATAAGCAGTGTGCTCTGGTCTTGAGGACTCATGGCTTGATAAGAAGATAACTCTAAGGCGAAAGTAGCTGAGCCTGATGTTAGTGTCCGAAGCACAGTTGAATAACCCTAATTTAAACAATTTAAGTTTGTTATTGCATCAGCTTTATGCCTAAAGTTTCTCATCCTTCTGATTATCTCTGTACTATTATCAGAGAAAGGTGGTGTGGCATTAATGATGAGGCTTAGCCATATCACTTCCTTCAGACAGATCATTTAATTGCCTTTTCAGGAAATATTATGGGAAACAGGAACACCTAGCCTAGTATAGGAAAGCTACAGATGCATTCTGTGATGCTACACTTGGTAAGATGACTCCACTCTCCTACTATTCATCTGGTACCTACCAGAAAGAGATAAATGGTCAGACTAATGCCACATTCTGGTGTGGCCACAAACTTTTGTGATTGTTGGTCTGAAAATAACCCTCTGAAGTGCTGTAATCCCTGGATACCCCCACAATTTATATCTGAAGTCCTATCCATTCCCAATGGTTAAAACTTAACATGAATTCTCTAAACCAAAGCCCTTATGCTCTTAGGTGCTAGTGACCACCTATTTTTACTTGGAATATCTCTTGCATTAGAAAAGAATATGTACATTTCATTTGCAAAGTACCTACCATAATTTCTGCTAAGGGAACAAATCCAATAACAACTCTGTTGTCCTGGCGAGTCTGTATTTCCTGAATGTTCCCTCTTCTTTGCGCCAGATCTGCCAGGACAGGGCTGAGGTGATCTCTAGTGACAGTAACTTCAAGATTCATCAGAGGCTCTAACACTTGCCTGTCAGCTTTCTTCAGAGCCTAATGAGATTAAGGAATGTTGTTAGCCCCCTTTCATAAACTGGAAATCAAATTTCTACTAAAAAGAAAAGAAGATTCATAAAAACTTGAAATATTGTCCATACTCTTAAACCGAGGGCTGCAGCAGACAAGATTGCTTTAGCTCTGTTCCATACAGATCATATTTGGAAGGCATTTGTCCATTTGGCAGCACTGGGGTTTGAACTGAGGGCCTCACACTTGCCAGATAGGTACTTTACCATTTGACCCACTCTGCCAGCTCTTTTTGTGTTGGGTATTTTTGAGATAGAGTCTCATGAATCATTTTCCTGAGCTGACTTCGAACTGAACCTCCTGATCTCTGTGAGAGCTGAGTAGCTAGGATTACAGATGTGAGCCACTGGTGCCTGGCCAGATCACATTTTGTAAGAAGTAAAGAACTGTAATAGCTACATGCTAGCAAAGACAACACAGTAAGAGTGAAATCATATTTTTTATTTGTGTAACACTCTCAACTTCAAAGGCCAAGAAAAAAACTTAAAAGAACACCGAGGGGAGAGAAAAAAGGAAAGAACAGGGAAGAGTGAGACATGGTGGCACACATACCTGTAATCCCTGCTACTTTGGAGGCAGTGCTGAAGGATTCCCATATGAGGCCAGCTCAGGCAAACATTAGTTAGACTTTACCTAAAAAACAAACTAAAAGCGAAAAGGGCTGGAGGCACGGCAAAGTGCTTTCTGACCACATGGAAGGCCCTGAGTTTAATCTCCAGTACCACCGTAAAAAAAAAATTTAAAAAAAAAAAAAAAAGGACACTGAAAATGTGTTTCAGGATAAAGTAATGCAGTAGGAACACTCTAACTAAGGATTCAACTCTGTGACTAAAGAGGATATTCTGTTCACATCTTTTCCTCAACAGTATTTCCTAGTTGCAGAGCTCCAAAAGCACCTTCTATGCAGCTTTCTCAACAACACTGCTAAATCCAGTCTCTGAGTGCTCCACTCTTATACTCTGCTGGCCTGCTTTGTGGAAGTATCTAAATATCCCACAGCTCCCAGTGCACTGCAAACTGAGTTTACCGTTTTCTTGTCCAAACATTTCTCTGCTGTTTCCTACTTCTGCTGATTGTAATCTTCAAACTTTCACAGTAAAGTCTTCCACTACTATTGCTGGTATCCTAATTAAGATGTAATTACTTCCTGTCCTAGACTGTTTTCCCTAATCCAAACCCTTCTGTGCTCTGACTACACTTCATTCTTCAAAAACTCTCAATTATTCTCTAATGTTCTCAAAGTTCAAACTCCTTAATATAGTATTTAAAGGTTTCTCTACAGTGAAACCTTTTACTCTTCTAACACTATTTTCATTCCCCTTCCTTCATCTCATATTACAATTAAAAGGATTCTTTCATCTCACTGTCTGGAATGTTCCCTACCATGCCTAAATCCTCCCAAATCATAAGAGCATCATAAGTCCTTTCCAAAATTTCCCCCTAATTCACTGCTTGCTTCCCAGCTTATATGGGACCCTACTCATTCTATATTAATACTTAGGCTACATTAATTCCCTTACTAAATAACGAATTCTTTTAGGTTGAAAAAAATAAAATCACCCTGTTTGTTTTCTTCTCATGCCAGTGAGCCATAATCATAGCACAGATGGCTCAAAAAACATCTGAAGCAGTTATGAACCTCTCATAAGCAGAGAAAAGGAGCTTCTCATTAGATGAAAATTCACAAAGTAGGAGAACTTCCATTAAAAGTACTTCATGTAGGTACAGGTATGATGGCATACACAGTCGCACACACCTGTCACACACCTGTCATTCTAGCTACTTGTCAGGAAGAAGTAGGAAGACTGTGATCTGAGGCTGGCCTGGGCAAAATCACAAGACCCTATGTGAAAAACAAACTAAAAGCAAGAGGACTTGGGGCTCAAGTGGTAGAGCACTTGCCTAGCAAGTATGAGGCCCTGAGTTGAAGCTGCTATACCACACACACACACACACACTCAAAGAAAATGAAAAAACAAAAATAACACTAAAGACTAAATGTAAGCCCCCTTACAATTGATTCTTATTCCCCAACATGATCTTATTAAAAGGCTAATCAATCAATTTACTCTTTTTTTCAAAGGCATATTAGGATTTTGACTGTCATTATAGTAAGTTTAGGGTTTAGAAATGTCACTTTTTGGATTACCGTTATTTCAATATTAAAACCAATTTCAAGAGAAACTTTAAAATTCTTGAAAGTGAATGTTCTAACAATATAATCATGACTAACTTTGTAGGTGATGCTTCCAACTACATTCTTAGGTAAACATACTTAAATAATTTTCTCAAGCATAGTTCTTTTTTTAAATCAAAAAACTTTTTAAAAAATATGAATTTAGAGTGGGGAGGGGGTACAGGAGTGATAAAAAATATGGGGATCAGAGTACGCAGGTATGAAAGTATCACAATGAAACTCCTCACACTGTATAATTAATATAACTAATAAAAAATAAACACGATTATGAATTTAGGGGTTGGGGTATAGCTCAGTAGTAGATTACAGCTAACATGCATTAGGCCCTGGGTTCAATCCAAAAAAATAAAAGTTAAGAAATTTGAACTCATGAAACCCACATTAAATTCAGGCTTAAAACAGGGATTTTAGGTGTTTAACTTTTTAATTATGGATTCAAATAAGACTACAGAAATCAGGTATCAAAAACAATTCAAGCATTAAAAAACAACTATAATTGCAAGAGCTATGTGATCTACAAAATTAGGGTATCAAATGCTGAGAAGAATGCATAGATCAGCATTCAACACACCACACTCTTGGGACTTCAACCATCTCTGCTGGTTATTGAGGCAGGAAACAGAGGGTCAATGAACACTCAAGTGATCACATGCTGAATGCTTTGAGAGGGAGGATGTTTACCCTCAATCTATTATTCAGTGGAACTTACCTGGTTTCTAAATGAAAACAATCTTATTTGAATAAACATGAAGTCTAAAAATGGAACCAATATTAGATCTTCAATGTGCCTTAGATTATAGCCCAAACCCAAGCTAACCCCAGATCAAATCTACCAGGCTTGCCTCTAATGGCTGAGTCTGGAATGGGAAAGCATGGATGTCAATTAAGGAAACTGCCTCTTTGTCAAATTCAGAGGACTTTTTTTTTTTTTGGCAGTACTGGGGCTTGAACTCAGGGCCTCACATTTGCTAGGCTTGCTAAGCAGGTGTTCTACCACTTGAGCTACTTGGCCAGCCCCAGAGGACATCTTAATAGCAGTCTGTGTGACCAGTAATTTCTAAGGTCCTCTTCAAATGACAACCTTGTGAATAAGAAATCAAAGCTTCTTCATGATAAGAACTCTTGCTGACTGTAAGACTGAGGAGGCAAGGACATACGGTCAGGCTCTGTAAGTACAGTTGCCTGTGAGCAACACTTAGCAGTCACCTTAAAGTGAAAGGACTAGGATAGTTCTATACCTTTTGTACACATCTTGAGAGACAGGCAGAAACCATAGTTGTGGAGGTTCCAGGATAAATCATCAGTGAATGTAAAGTAATTGCCACATCTTGAACTGGGGATCCAAGCAATGGTCCTGTACAAGGGAAAAAACTCTATTAGGACTCAGTATGTACTGAGCAGAAACACAAATTCAAAGAAATAAGAAGAAATATTAGTAAAGTTAGGAAAAGACTGAAATAGTCCACAATATATGGGATGGGGGTGTAACTTCATGCATGCCATAAGGGAGGTCCTAGGTTCAATCCCCAGCACATACACAAACAAAAGAATGATTAAATGATCAAAGGGATACTATACTTCCTCTTATTTGAGTACTTTACCTTGGAGGCACGCACTGTGAATTCCATTTTCAACAGCCTCTTGGGAGACCTTCAGAAGGTCTTCACTGACACCTGGAGCATACTCGATTACCGGCACAACAGATGGAGCTTCAGTTGGCCGTACTTCCAGTTCCACACTCACAAGATGCCGCTTGTCCCCTAAAGTTCTATCTAAGGTATCTGAAAACAAATTGAACATGGTACCTCTTGAGATTTGTTCTGGAAAGGTGTCAAGGTATCATACTTGGCAAAATTATAACCAACAGGCTCAAGGTCCTGTAGAAGATGAAGTGGGAGAGAATATTAATAACACTAAACATAGGACAAAAAATCAAGGTAAATAGTTCCACCAGGTGCAAAACATCTCCTTCCACATTTATTGATTTTAAAAACCTGCTTTGAATCACCAACATTTTTTAGTGCTAAGATGTGTTCAGCACATGATATGAAGATTAAACTTTTCAAAAAGTCTTTTGAAATTCTTTTAATTATAAGCATTTTATTAAAAAGTAACATTGAAATGATTAAGCATTTAAAGAGTACAAAAGACTAGCTCATGAAAATCAAGATTTTTAATTCTGCCAACTCACAAATTTCATATATTCTTTCAGCATTATTTTATGCACTTTTTGATTTCCCCAAAACTAGTAAAATGCTTTTTGTAAGACTGAAAACAGTAGCTCTCACTTGTTAAGCAATGGGTGTTACCAATCTCCTATATTTTGCTGAAACAAAACTGTGCTACACTTCTGTGTGTGGCCATATATCACCATTCACTCTTGGCCCAAATTCATAGCTAAGAATTAACGCTAGTCTACAATTCTTTGTAAGTCCTTTTTGAGTTCATTTTTATATTATGAAGTAATTTATATTTAAGAATGCATGCATAAGCTAAAAATAAAATGAGCATTCATGAAATCTAAAACTACTGAAGAAAGAGACTACCAATATTGAGAAACCTTCTGAAGCAACCGTCACACTCCCAGGATTTTCTCCCACTACATCACATCTGCATGTGTCCTTAAACACTGCAGTTCACAGCTGCACTTTTTCGAATTTATTATTATACTGTATACATTCGGCAACGTTTTTGCTTTTTTGTACCACATACTCAGGGACCTTTAGACTCTTTTCCAATTCCACCGCTTCTCCTTGGCCCCTAACGGTAGCACTTGGCTAAAGGAAGAATGCTTCCTCTCCTCCCGTTACCTGTTCATCTGTGTCACCGTATAACTTGTCAATTCACATTGTTCCCCATGATCTGTAAGGATTGTACTTTATTATCTTGGTAGTCAATGAACCCAGATTTGGCAGTGGAGCCTCTTCAAACTGGTTCCTATGCCCCCACTATTTTTTTTTTCTTTTTCACATGATATAATGTTCCACTGCCTGATTATTTATTATTTAAAAACTTACTTTGGGTTTATACTCCTTTTCTTTGAAGCCTGGGTTCAGATACAAGTCTCTGGAGAGTCCCCCTGTTTTTCCCAGGCTCCTTGGTATAGGGAAAGTGATTATTTAGGCTAGTTACCATGTACGCAGGCACACTAAATACAATGTTGAGCTGTAACTACCCAAGAACAACTAGTTACGTAACTGTGACTAGGCTTGCATGTGCAGTAGATGGTAATAACTTGGCTGGATGTCACTTTTGTCTACAACTGTATAAAAATCACTGCACAGAGTGGCCTGTGGCTGTGGGCTGCTGCAATGGAAAATAAACCACACAAAACCCCCTAAGACTCCTATCTCTACTCCGGACCTCCCAAATCACAAACCCATCTGTTTGCACCACAGCATTTGACCTATACTTGGGATACTATCAATCCATGAGCACTTAACACTAAATTCTTAAAGTTTTTCATGTCATACTGGTTCCAAGAATTTAGTCTAAAAACCCGCAGCAGAAATTTTGCCCCCTTGTTCCAGACTCACTTCCTTGCCCTTTGCTTTTATGGAGATTTTTTTTCCTGGTTAACTCCTGCCATAAGGATGTAGCCCTCTAGTGACAGATTCTTCCACAATGATTACTGGCTGTGGTGCTCACTGCTTTTCCTAGATTCCTGATTCAGCTTCTTTTTTAACTCCTGAAATTTTCAGTTACATATTAACCAGCTCACACATTAATTTAAAGGATGTTATTTATATTTATCAAGCTTTTTAATTGTTCCAGATATATAGTCAATGTAACTCTGGTGTCATTTGCCTAATTATTCAAATTTCTGTAAAACATAATCACCTAGACCTTTCAAAAATTGCTGAAGTGCTTAAGAGCACCTGGTTATCCTGAATACCTCTTTTCTACATTCTTTCACAAACCATGTTTTCTCCTTGAGAGTGAGTAGTAATCACTGCTTATTTTGCTTAAGGGAACCCAATTAAAATGATATGCAGAAAAACCATACGTTCTTACATTTCAGCGTAAAAACATAAAAAATGCACTTTCTCAAGAATGCTATCAGCATAGGATTACCACACTTATTGAATTTTCTACTTGTTATGTAGAGTAAAAATAACCCTGATTTCCAATTCTTATTCTGGTAGTGTTTTGATACCTTAGACAGAACTTTAGGAGATAAATGGCTCCCACCCCAAACCCACTGAAAAGCACATTTCAGAGCTTGCTGAGTGGCCCATCCAGTAGATGTTATGGAGGTAATGGCACAGGGCTTGATGTGTTTAAAACAAAACAAACAACAACAAATCCCACACTAGTGACTGTGTACTCTATTTTAAGCAACTAAACAGACAAAGGAGCAGAGGAGGAGAAAACTACAGCACCAAGTCCTAAATGTTTTTTTTTTTTACCTGTGGTGCGAACTGAGTTTAGGATGGTCTCTCGGTATGCCACCTGGAGAGGCCCTAGGTAGGTCTCCAGGCCATACTCCCTCTTGATGCGGTCATGAATTATCTCAATATGTAACTCCCCCATACCACATAGGATGGTCTAGTTGTATGAGAAAGAAATTGAAATAAAGATTAAGGAAAAAAATATATTTATTATAAAGTACTACATAAAGGTACAATGTTAATATATTTAAGTAAATATGTTTTTCCTGGTTCTAGGGTTTGAAGTCAGGGCCTTGTACTTGTTAGGCAAGCATTCTACCACTTCAACAACACCCCCAACCCTTATTACATTTAGATAAGGTCTTGTGTTGGACCATCCTCCTCCTACCTGCACCTTCCATGTAGCTGGGATTACAGGCATGTACCACCACTCCTGGCTTATTGAGACAGGACACTAACTGTCCACCCCCCCCCAAGCTGGCTCTGAACCATGATCCTTCTATTTCAAGTAACTGGGATTATAGAAGTGAGCAACTGTACCCAGCCATATATGTTTTAAGTAATTTTTTTGTTAATTATAAAGTTTCTTTTGCCATACTGTTGTGTGGACTGCTATAAAACACTGTTTTTGCCTTTTCTAACTGTAACAATAAACCAACTGCAGTGTGAATTAGTTGGCTATCTCTCCTTTGATGTTAGTTCAGTTGTCAGCTGAGTAAGTGGTGTCTAGCTAGGACTACGCTTCCCAATCACAAGACTACGCTCTAGCCAAGGGGACATTAGTTAGAGTGGATGCTTGCAGCCTCTGTGTTACACCTTTTAGAGGACCTATCCTAATGACGAAATAGGCAGCTGTCTTGGAACTGTGACTCAGGGCAACACCCTGTGGATGGTGAGATAACTTCTCCCAAAGCATTTCCCAATCACATGGGCATTTCCCAAACATCCAGGGCATCTTGCAGTTTTGTGGACAGTTAAACCCTCCAGACTAGTTTGAATCTTCATGTAAAAAAGAAACTTTTATCTTTTTTTAAACAATGTTAGTTTGGGTCCTTGTTAGAACAGTCAAAATTGTGTTAAAAACAATGAGATATAGTTCTTTCTAACAACTGTTATACTTAAAGAAGTTCTTTGTATATGTGAAAGAGCACAGTGCAAGGTATACATATTTGTTCTATGCAGAGAAAGATGGTTGATAGTCTTTGCTCTTAGCTACTGGAAGGTGATCTCAAGGCCCCTAGGATGTCCTGTCTGATGGAAATGTCACTGTTTAAGCCTGGTAGCTTCACCTACCACACAGCCTAAGAGTGTGATTTAAAATGTGGACTTTGAAACACACCTTATCAACTCTGACCTCCAGAGAAGCTGGAAACTGGGCTGGGAGTGTGTGACTCAAGTGATAGAGTACCTGCCCAGCAAATGTGAAGCCCCGAGTTCAAATTCCAATACCACTTAAATAAAAAAATAAAATAAAGGAGGGCTGGAGACTAATGATCAACCACAGAGGCAGTATGTGATTGACTCCCAATAAAAACTGTGGACACACAAGACTCCAGTGAGCTTCCCTGGTTGGCCACACTTTTGCCAAGAGGGCAGCATGTCCCCGAGGATGAAGGGAGCTTTGAGTTTAGAACCTTCCCAGACTTTGTCCTAGGTGTCTTCTTCCTTTGGTTGTCTTTAATTTGTATCCCTTGCTATAATGAAACTGCAATCATAAATTTAAAAAGAAGGATTAGTTGGTGTATGATCGCTATTCTTAAATATGAAATTAAAAAACTAAGTTATTTGGAAAAAAAGCAAATTATATATAAATACAGAAAGACAAATATATGTATATCTGTACATATACATGTATATGGAATGTATATTTGGAAAAATATACTGTTATATGACAGTACAAGAAAACAACAGTTGTTTTGGGGAAAAGTATGAAAAGGTACTCAAGTTTCCATAGTGATTACCTGTGTAGAATGGCACAGAGGGACAGAGAAGGGAGCTCTAATTTTTTACTTGGTATAATTCTGTATTATTCTGCTGTTAAAAAATGTACTGGCATCTTTTAAATAAAAGGTTTTAAAAACAAAAATGTTTCTGTTTTAGGAACTGTTATTGCAGCCTTTAGGAATTAAACTAAATTCCTACTCACCTGACATTTGGGGGAAACAAAGTATTCCAAATTTTCTAAATTAAATTAGTTTATATTCTTTTAAAGACAAATTTAGTCTTTTAAAGGTTTTCTTATATGAACTTTACCCTGCTCTCCTACAAAGAGCATGCAGAATGTAACTGAATCTTTCTCTTGAGAAATCAAGAATATCTATGTTGCACTGTGCTGTTATCACTGCTCTGCACCTGCTGGAGAACCCTACTTCCTCCCATGTTGTTAGACTGTAACCCATAACTTATTCATTTTATGTGTGCTACTGTCGTGAAAAGCACCTTCCAGACCTCCCTCTAGTATGCTGCTTCTATATGCCTTCCTTAAGATACTAGACTTTGTCTTAGAGTTGAACCTCACTTCAAAATAATGCTGACGAGTAGTCTATATATGTGAGGTATGATGATATTAGGGAATCAAATAGAATTTGAAGTCAGAAATTTGTATTATGAATCAACACTTTTTCTTTCAAGAGCATAAAGTAGACAATGTTTTAGATACATGCACGTACACGGGCACACACACACACACAAACACTATCATGCAAAGACTTCTAGAGTTAAGTAACAGCATGCATACTTGTCCAGAGTCAGGATCTAGCCTCACTTTCAAACTGGGATCTTCACGCTGAAGGCATTTCAATGCATGATCCAAGTCTGTGGGAAAAACAACTGTTTTATTTTCACATTTTGTTTTCTAGGTAACTTAGTATATGTTCTAATAGTGAAAATACATGAATAAGTGGACAAATTTTGAAAAAGACAATTTCAAACAGCCATAAATGCTTTCACAGACTAAAACAATATTCCACAGTAGTGGTGGGAGGCTACTTGAGATGACTGAATGCATCTTAGGATGATTTAAATAAAGATGAAAACACAAAAGAAGAAACCTATAAACAAAATCCTGAAGAAAAACAAATTCACCTTTAGGGAATAGAAGCACAGCAAAACATGGGCGAATAAAGCCAGAGACTGGTGAATAAAATGAGGAGTAACATCAGATAAGAGGGAGATGGACAGGAGTGATGTCATGTAAGGTATTATAGACACGGTGAGAAATCAGTAACATCATCTGATTATATTTTGCAGAGACCAATGGAGTATCTGATGAAAAAGCAAAATGCCTTCCGAAACACTGGCAATGATGAGAAGCTGGCGAGAGGAAGATAAAATTACATGAACAATCAGATACTAGTATGATCATATTACGATGAAGTATCACAACCACCAGGGAAATAAGAATGCATTATTTGCATTAAATATGCCACCTAAAATGATATTTAATACAATTAACTGATAAGTAAGTATACTCTCCTTCTTTATAAAAGAAAGCTGTTAGAAGTTCACATAAAGTATAGCTGAAGAGCTGAGCTCTAGACTAATGAGCTAACCAGTCATACATTCCAAATGTTCTTAGCTACAGAAACCAGGCCTGCTAAATATGAGCTGTCCAAGTAGTAGCCATTAGCCATTTACAGGTATTACTAGTCTGAATTGGCAGACGCTATAAATATAAAGTGCATGCCAGATTTCAAAACTTAATAAGAAAAAGAATGTGAAGTATCTATCTCGTTAATACTTTTTTAAAAATATTGACTTCATGTTGAAATAATAATACAGATTATGAATCTCTTACCTGAAATGCTTGGGACCAGAATTGTTCAAATGTCAGAGCATTTCAGACTTTGGATTTTTGGTATATCAATCTGTATTTTGATATAATGAGTCAAACGGAATATATTATTAAAGTTAATTTTACCAACTTCTTTTAATTTTTGTATGGTTGTAAGAAATTCTGAATTACATATGTGGATCCTGTTAATTTCTATAGGATAATGCTGTTCTAGATACTTGGTGCCCAAGTGAGAATCAAGGACCAGCAACAATGGCATCACCTGAAGCCTGAGAGACTCTGATGTCCCAGACCTATTGAGTCACAGTCTACATTCTAACAAGAATCCCCAGAGACATGTATGCACACTTTAGATTAAGAGGCATTATTTTAGGCAACAGTCTTTAAGCACCTATAGTTACTTAAATAGAGTAACCATGTATCTGATGCTGGTTTTGGAATGAAAAGAGTTTCAAATTTTCTTATAAAATACGCAAATTCATTAAAAAATAATTATAAAGATTCTATCCTTCAAGGAATTTACTGTGGTGAAACACAGCATTATAACAATAAGTGCTAAGTGCTATCCATATGACTATGAGGAAAATACAACAGAGCTGGCTGTGGTGGAGCATGCCTATATTCCTAGCTACTCAGAGACAGAGGTAGGAGGATGGCAAGTTTGAGAACAGCCTGGGCAAAGTTAGCAAGACCCTTATTTCAAAAACAAAAATACAAAAAAACTCAAAAAGGGATGGTAGAAGGAACTAGAGAAAAGGTTAGATCAAAAAGAATTAACCTAGAAGGTAACACACACGCACAGGAAATACAACGGGTAAACTAGAAGCAAAACCAAAGATTAGTTTCCACACAGAACTATTGGAAGTCAAATGCTTCAAAGTCATGCAGAGTGATGGTTTGTAATCAGTACAAATAATAAACACAATTGCCAGGCAAACAAGGTTTGACCGCCAGGCACCAGTGGCTCATGCATGCCTCTAGCTCTCACTACTCAAGAGACAGAGATTAGGAGTATCATGGTACAAAGCCAACCCCGGTCAAATAGTTTGTGAGACCTTATCTCAAAAAAATCCATCACAAAAAAGCTGGTGGAGTGCCTCAAGAGGGAGAGTGCTGGATAGCAAGCTCTAGGCCCTGAGTTCAAGCCCCAGCATCACTTCAAAAAAGAGTTTTGAGTTGCCCTTAATGCAGAGAAACTAAAGCAGATACCTTAAAGCAACTGAGGCCAATAGGAAAAGGGGACCAGGAACTAGAGAAAAGGTTAGATTAAAAAGAATTAACCTAGAAGGTAACACCCACGCACAGGAAATCAATGTGAGTCAATGCCCTGTATAGCTATCCTTATCTCAACCAGCAAAACCCCTTGTTCCTTCCTATTATTGCTTATACTCTCTCTACAACAAAATTAGAGATAAGGGCAAAATAGTTTCTGCTGGGTATTGAGGGGGTGGGGGGGAGAGGGAGGGGGCGGAGTGGGTGGTAAGGGAGGGGGTGGGGGCAGGGGGGAGAAATGAACAAAGCCTTGTATGCACATATGAATAATAATAAAAGAAAAAGAAAAAAAAAAAAAAAGGGATGGTAGAGTGCTTGCGTAGCCCAAGCCCTAGGTTCAGTTTCCAGTACCACAAAAAGAAAATACAATAGAAGTATGGGAAAAAAGCACACACAGATCTGCTTGAAAGAAGTCTATGTTAGAGACTCTTGGGAAGTCCCCTCCTCTAAGGGGTCTAGGACCTTTGAGCTAATGCCCACTGATCACAGTGTCTTTGGACACTAAACTTTTTCTTGTAAAATAAAGTTGTGAGTTCTTAGGTATAAAATTGGTTGGTGCTACTTAACTGCAATCATGAAATTTGAGTTTGGGTGCTTACACTACATTTGAAATCTGAATGACTTTCAAACATATTTAAAAGAACTCATAGGTAACTTTCTTCAGGCAGATCCTGCCTTTAAGTGACTGGTCACTCCCAATATAACTAACTTGGCCTAGTTTGATGTCATGGATTCTTCATCACCTGATCCTTCAGGTCATGCCTCTTCATCACCTGATCCTTCAGGTCAAGACTATACCTACCTGGCCTGAGTCATTTAAAGGTAAAATTGCTGCCCTACCTGTTTTAACTTAAATGCTGCCCTTTCACCAACTGGACAAGAAAAGACCCCATGTCCTTCAGTATTTGGGGTTGTTTATGTGTATACTTAGCTTTCATGTGAACTCCACAGGCAGGTGAAGAACTGAAACCCCTACTTGGCTAGGAATTTTCTTTCTTTCCCACTAAATCTTAGGAAGACACAGGAAGGAAATAAAGATTGCTTTTGTTTTTACACCATTTGTGAGTCCAAGGTTTTTAAGAAAAAAACCTAGGTTTGTCCTTTCATCTAATATAGGAATTAATTGAGAGCCTCATAAAGAGGTGTTACTTTAGTTGAGACCTAAACAATTTTCCAGTGGTTCAAGCAGTAGATCACGTGCCTAACAAGTGCAAGATTCTAAGTTCAAACGCCCCACACCCACTCCCCCCCAAAAAAGAAGAATTTTCCAGGCAGTCACATTCAGGGGAAATCATTATAATGTAAGAGAATAGGTAAACCCAAAATGCAAAAAAAGGGGCATAGCATCTTTAGGAGATCAGAACTACTTTATTATGGGAATATAAGGTGTGGACAATTTTTATCTGTGCAAGTAAAAGAGGGTACAAAGGAAAGAGAAAGGTTCAAGAAATAAGGCCAGGCAAGAAGGCTTGTAGCAAAGACTGCTTGTAGCCTTCCACTCCATTCTACTGCTGCCTACTTAACAGATTGCTTTCACTGGACTCCCTGTAATCAATGGTGTTGGCCAATGACACATAAGAGATCTTAAGAGGAAAGGGGTACATCTTCACCTCCCTCTTAGGCCTTTCTGTTGTCAGGCAATCCAAAGTAATGCCCAAGGCTCCAGCAGCCACCTCAGGAACCATGTACTCAAATAGGGCCCAAAGATGGAGCCTAGGTACCGAGTGATTTTGTGGAGCCTCTCTAACTCCTTGGTCACCAATGTAAAATTACTTTTACAAGACTTATTTTACAAAGCTAATTGGAAATGATTCAGCTGGGATCATAGGCTTTATATTCCACTTTAAGGAGTTTGGGCTTATGCTGTAAATAATGAGAAGAATTTTGAGCTAATATGTCAGACAAAGAGTGTAACTCTCAAAGGGCTAAACATTAGTCATAGCACATAATATATCTGCACTGAGTTCTAGAGGTTGAGCTAGAAATAAGGCGAAATAGCATTTTTCTATATGAATTAGTTATGAATCAGTTACTATTTAATCTTACATACCAGAAGGTCAAGTCTAAGCCAATTACTTGGAATCACATAGTTAGCACTATAAAATAAGAGTAAGTAAGAACATGAAATGAGAAAAATGGACAAATATAACGGGGAAAAAAAGCAGTTTGTAAAAATCGAAGTATCTTAAGTAAAAAACTAGACTAACCTAAGAAATGCTTACAAGTAAGCAAATAAAATTTGACTCAGCCACACAAGAAATCTTTTGAGGGTATACTGCAACTATTTTACATAAATGATCAAAGCATTAATTCACTGATACACCAAGATTATCCACACCTGGCTGCTTAGCCACTGAAGGTGGTTCAATGGTACAGAAGAAAACAGGTTCTGGAATCTCCACTCCAGCCAATAGAAGTCTCTCTGTTTCACTGTTTTGTCTATGCTTCTTCTCTCCTTCCCTTCCGGCCCGACGAGCTGCAGCTAATGCACTGGACTTAGATAAGACAATGGTGTCTCCAGTGGCAGTCTGCAAGCAAATAAGACAATGTGAACCAAAACAGGCTCTTAGCTAGCACTCATCTTCACTAAGAACCATAGATTTAAAAAAAAGTGTCAATGCAGAGCTTTCTTCTCATCAGAATTTGAGAGAAATAAATTCATACTCATTTAACTTGTATAAAAATTCTACCTAAAAATACTGCACTAACAAATTCTAGCAAACAATAAAACATGCAAACACAACACATCCAAAATTCATTTGGCAAAATAAATAAATGTATCTGTCTAAATTTTCAATTATATCAAGACAGGTTATGTAAAAGTCCAGTATTGTGTTTTAACACCAGTAAGATTTTATTACTATTTTACAAAAACTTCACTATTAACTAAAATACCAACTAGCAAGAATACACCTGACTGCATAACTGATAGCTTCTATGTAGAGTCCCAATATTCTTTAAACTGCTATTTTATTTTTTATCTGTTATATCAAAGTTCTATGATAGTTTCCTTCTCTATAAAGACAATGCTGCTGAAGCAATATTCAAACATACTTGCAGAGCTCCTTCACATATGTACAAGAAGCAGGTCCTGTCTTTAGGCAGACAGAGGGATGTTTCAATACCCAAAGCCCAAAATTCAGATTATCATAATTTTCTACTAAAGGATCCTGAAATTTGCAATTAGCCATGAAGAGTTTGAAATGTTAAAAATAACAATGTTTATTCAAATTGAAATATACCAAAGTTTAGTGAGAAAACTACATTTGACTTAATCCATATAAGTGAAGTGTCCTTAGTTTTAACCACCAAAAATGGATAAAGCATAAAATATTTTTATTCACTCACCCTACAAGTGTCTATGTAGTACCTACTACATGCAAGCATTCATCTATGGATTAAAAATAGAACTATAAATAAAAGAAACAAAAATCCTTGCCCTCAAGGAGCCTTCATTAGTAAAATATCTTTAGTTATTACCTGGTCAGTTATATGGTTATATTAAATTATCTGCAAAGATCAAAACAGATAAAAACTCAATGGGAACAAAACAGTATTTCAAATAAACTTAAGACATTGTATATGTATCTATAAATAGCATATTTCACTTGGATTTGAACTTCATATGAATATAATCCAAACTGTCTCTGGTCTTATGTAATTTACTTTTCCTTCCATCAAATGACATTGAACCATGTTGATGAATATGCCACAATAGTCATTATTCTAATGATTGACATTTTGATTGCTCATGGATTTTTACTATTATAAAATATATAGTTGCAACTAAAACTCAAATTATTATTTTCAGAAATCATTTGGTCACTTACATGTTTAAGTCCAACCGTCAAAGCAATGTTACCAGCAGTCAGTGAAGGGATTTCTACATGTTGGTCAGCAAATGGCAAAAGCAGACGACTTATTCTCTCACTATAAAACCATAATTCATATCAGTATAGTACTTTTAAAGAAATGAGTACAGTTTTGGGAAATAACGTAAGCTTCTACTTACGTGCAGTTTCCATTAATATTATGGATGGTCAATTGGGGCTTCAATGTGCCTGAGTAAATGCGCATAAAAACTAGTGGTCCTCTCTGCCTGTCATGCAGAACTTTAAATGCTAGTGCGCATAAGTCACCTTTATACCATGGCCTAGAAAATAAAGGAGACATTACAGAAACATTTACAAAGTACACTTCCCATGTATTATAAAGATCAGATTAGAATCACTGCAGAAATATAATCTTAATGCCCTCCGGAGGTCCCTCAGATCTTTTGGCAATGTCACTATGTACCTCTCTTCCTCTATTTATGCAGCTCTTACTCCTAATTCTTCAAAACTAAAAACAATGGGTTCTCTTCAAAATATTACCTGTTTGCAAATAATTTAATTGCTGAGAGCTTCCCCTTATGTCGTACTACTCTCAAGAAATCGGCACAAGGTAAACAAATACATATTTTCCAATTATTACTTTCACTCACGCCTTTCACTTTCTGTCCAGCTGCACACCCTAAAATCTACAGTATAAACTTGAAATTGTTTACACAGGTAACATTCTTATAGAATGGCATTCTTATAGGCTTCAGAAAGTTTGAATTTTCATGAAATTGCCAAATTTTGGGCACAGGTGCATCTCTCTGAGGAAAGAAGTCCTTGACTCAAAGTAGGCTAAACACTTGTATTATAGGCCTTCTCCAATCTTACTCCTATTACTTCCAATTTTCAACTTTAATACTAATATAGAAAGTTTTCTACATACTAGCAGTGCTCCTTATGCTTAATAAACATCAACTAATTGATGACCCCTGGAGACAGGTCATGCTTTTCTGCATCTTATAGATGGAGGTATTAAGCCACTTGGAAGAACTGAGACTGCAATCCAGCAAAACAAAGTTCATGATCATACTCACTTTACAATCATGCCTTCTAGTTAGAGATAAACAAAGTTATTAATGTCCAATCAAAGTCCACTTATCTGCTATTTTGCATGTTGCTCACTCAGATTTTTGAGGATTATTACTTAATTACAAAGCTGTTAGTTACAACAGGAGCTACAATGACCTTTCTTTAAGCCATAAAATATTTTGAGCTTATGAAAATCCTGAAATTTAGATGAATATAAATATATCTACTGAATGGTTAACAAACTCCACAAAGTGATAAGCCATCTTCTTACCTCCACCTGTAAACATGGCAAGTTACAAGAGATGACAACAATGTCCCTTTTAAGCAAAAATGACTATAGTCTATCTTATATCATTTACAAAGATACTCCACCACTATTATTTAAAAACAGCAATTGAACTACTTTTCATGAAACAAAGCCTACTTGTGTTTTCAAGACCATAGGAATTCGATCTATGTGTTTGCATACTTACAGAAATTCATACTTGTGCTCTTCAGGTGAAGGCAAGTACATAGTGATTGCATCTAAACAAGGGCTGTACACCTTTGTTTTTCAGGGCACTTCCACAAAGCACAGGCACTGCTGTCTGAGCCAGTGTTACTCTGTGTATTGCAGTCTGCAGCTACAAATGGAAATAGTAAGTAAACATTTATTTTGTGGAGTATACTGGTCTCTTCCAGAATCTCTCAGAATTAGAGGCCTTTCTTTAGCAACTCTTGTACAACAGCACTTCTCATCATAGTTCCGTTGTCTTTTATGGCTGTATTTTCCTTTATAACACAAGTCATTACCTGACATGTTAGATATTTGTTTATTATCTGTCTCTTGTTCAATAGATATAAAATCCCTAAGCCTCATGAAAATACTGCTAAACCCCCAGAAACCAGAAAAGTTTAAGATACAGTAGGTGCTCAGAAATATTTGTTGAGTAAGTGAATTAAGATTTTTGTAATTCAACTTGATAAGAGAGGAACTCATCAAAAATAAAAGTATAAAAATCTGACAGATTTTTCCAAATGAATTAGCTCCACGTTTAACAAAATCCAAAGGAAAATGAGAAATCAAAGTAGAAAAAAATTTTTTAAAGACCTTAAAGAGCAAAAAAAAGATTTGGTGTATTTGCAAGCTTTCAATAAGAGAATCAATAGGTCAATTCCATTTTCGATTGTGAGCACTCTAAAAACAGAATTCATGCTATGGACAATAGAGAATAAAAAACATCATGCTTAAACAAAAATTCAAAAATGTTGGCACTTCATTCAAAAGAAATTAAGGGTTGTTTTTCTACTTCTAAGTTTAAGTAATTGAAAAATAGGCCCAGCTCTTACGTTTTCAATTTTTTAAATTGTTCCTTTGAGACAGTCTCACTGTATTACCCAAGCTGGCCCCAAACCTGGAATCGTCTTCCCTCAGTCTCCCAAGTGCTGGGATTATAGGCATGGGTCACCAAGCCTGGCTTTGTATTTTTAATTCTTTTCATGAAAGACAACTGAGTGAATTTGTTTGAGTAATTTTTGGTCCCAAGAGTACCACTTAAAAACACTTTACTTGGCAACTCTTGAGTTTCATAAAGGAAAATAATACATTTGTCTAATCCATGGGGAAGCTCTCTGGCAGATTCCTTGAAGAAATCTCATAATTCAACTATCAGTATCTTACTTGCCTCTTCTCAGGGAAAACAAGACAAAGCAAAAGAACTAAGTGAATTTCTATTAAAAAAAGTTCTGAGCAAAATGATAGTTACAGTAGTTTCAAAAGCCAGTTTTAAACAAAACTTTCCACCTGTGATTTCCCTCTACAACCTTAGAAAGATGACTAGAATGAAGACAAAAGGCTTCAGAGTTGACCAATTAACTGATCCTGACTCATGTCAGTAAAAAAAGACTCAAATTCTAATTTTATTAATGTACCTGAAAGTAGTACATTGCTGGCATTGTTTAATACAGACATGAGTAATGACTTTACCTTCGTTTTTAAGCCAGCATTTTCTAATATTACACTTTTTAAAAAAATTCCTAAGACAGAGAAGTCAAACTACATTCAATTAGTAAAATTTTGTCAAAGCAACTCAAAAAAATGCTTACCTTTTCAGCTGGTAGCAAATCAAAATTTTCACTAAATTCTCCTAAAACCAAGTCAGCAAATTCATCATCCAAATCTGCAACCTACAAAGAAAAGCTACAAGTTCTTTCACTTATTTTCATAATGATTAATGTATCTAAAACTGTAAGTACACGTTATTTAAGTATTTCAAGACAGCTACATCATCTGCTTCATACAGGCTAAGCAACTCTTCACATCTTTCAAAGAAAAGGAAGTTAGAAACTGAAGATATGCTATTATGAGTTTCCTAAATTCACAAATGAGGGTCTGATTAGCATCTCAGTGAATTGTTATCTACTCAGAGTGCTCAAAACAAATGACATTTCAGTTGAAGGATGTTGGTATTACTTCAAGTATATTCATGTAATTTTCTAGTTCATGTCCTTTTCATAAGCATCTACCTATATGAAACAATATAACCCAGCTGATAGTACATTAATAAAAGTTTTAAAAGTTGATAATAGTACAAGGGAACAAAGCACCCAAACTTGGTAAGAAAAACAAACTGTTCACAGAATTAACTATAGCCAAAATGTACCTAACCATCCTTTTGGAAAGCAGTATAGGTGAGGTTCCCAATTTCTGGAATCAGACTGCCTGGAATTGGTTCCACCACTGACTAACCTGTTCAGACTTCAGTCAATTTACACCAGTCACCTCTCTCTGCCTTAGTTACTCCTGGAACTAATACTAGTACTTACCACTTAAGGCTGTTGTGAAGATGAAGTAAACAATTCCAATTATCCTTGCAGAACATGCATCAAGTGGACAATGCTATTAACTATTATTAATATTACTATTTACCATTAGGACATACAATGTGGCTTCTAGTCCACACTAACATTCTCCAATTAAAAAAAAAAACTCTAACTTGTGATAAAATACATAGAACACAAAATTAACCATTTTTAAGTGGTAAATCATTATAACCATTTTTAGACACAGTTCAGTAGTGTTAAAAGTCTATTCAAATGTTGTACAATCTCCTAAACGCTTTTCAGTTTGCAAAACTGAAACTCTATATGCACTAAACAACTCTCCACTCTTCTCTGAGCCTTTTGTAAATGATCATTCTACTTCCTGTCTCTGAATTTACTCTAGGTATCTCATAGAAATGAAATCATACAGTATTTGTCTTTTTTTTTTTTTTCAGTACTGGGATTTGAACTCAGAGCCTATACCTTGAGCCACTTCACCAGCCTTCTTTTGTAATGGGCATTTTTCAAGTTATGGTCTGGCAAACTATTTGCCCAGGCTGGCTTCAAAATGCAATCCTCCTGTTCTCTGCCTCCTGAGTACCTAGGATTACAGGTGTGAACCACCAGCACCCAGCTGGCTATTTCACTTAGCATAGTACCCTCTGACATACACTGTACCATGTGTCAGAATTTTCTTCCTTCTTAAGACTGACTGTACATATAGACCACATTTTATTCACCCATTCATGGGCTGAGGGGCACATGATTTGCTTCTACCTTTTTGGCTATTGTAAAAACCACTGCTAGGCACATGGATGTCCAAATACTTCTTCAAGAGCTTGCTTTCAATTGTTTGGGGCACTACACCACTATATTTCCACTAACAGTACACAAAGGTTACAATTTCTCTACATCCTCACCAATACATATTTTCTGGGGTTTTTGACTCTAGGCATCTTAATGCATGTGAGGTGGTCTTGTTCTCTAAATTTTACACATACTTACATATTCCTTATAACTAGCACCTAGTTTTAGCCATTGATAATCTCAAATTTTATTTCTACCAAATACTGTTGTCCTAAAAAATCAGATACTATGTGCCAGTGTGTGGGATTCTCTACTAGATTATAAAATCCTTCTTTGTTGATACAGCTCTTTTGTAGTAAGTCAACCCCCCCCCAAAAAAAAAAAAACCTCAAAGAGGAAGCAACTATGTATACAGTTATTGATTGATGTCAATTCCACTTTTGTTCTTTTTGTTCTCTGCTAACCTACAAAAGCAGAATTGCACAGTGGAGAGCAGACCTAGCTCTGAGCTGAGACAGAACTGAGTTCAGATTCCAGCTCAGCCATTTTGTTAGCAAGATGGCTTATTTAAGCATTCTAAGCCTCTGTTTCCTAACCTGTAAAATGGGGAGAACATAAGGTTGTTATTAGTATTATACATAGAACAGTATACAGAAGGCGCTTAACATAGCACACAGCAGGCCCTCAGTAACTAATACCAAAAATAAAAATAACTATCATTATGCTAATGATAAAGCTGATGATTAGTGTATATTATAATAGAAAATCTGAGCATTCACAGGACAGAGGGAGGAGGATCATGAGCTCAAGGCCTGCCTGGGCTATAGAGCAAGATCCTGTTCTCCAAAAAAAAAAAAAAAAAAAGACTTGGATCAATTCAATTTAGAAGTGAAAGAAATCAAAAAGCTCAGGCTCAAATGTTTTTCTCTATTATAAGATTCATGACTAAGGTATGTATTACTTATTGCCCTATATTTTAATTTAATACAAACATTATAAACATGAACTAATATGAATTTGCTTTTCCTATTTAAATTTTGAGAATGAACATGGTCGAGGGCTATATACCAACTGTAAAGTTGATGTTTTTAAATTTTCTAATCTGACATCTGGTAAAGAAGATGGGCGGATCTTTTGATCCAGTAATTCTCCTAAATTTAACCCTTGGTATTCTGTGTAGCATGTGCACACAAGATACAAAGATGTTCATGGCAACATTGTTTCCAACAGCAAAAAAGAAAACCTCAAGTCTACCCAATAAACTGAAAAGACAGTAAACTGCAATCATCATACATTGGAGCACTATATAAAGGGTTGAAAATGAATAATCTGTAATTACACATACCAACAGGGATGAATATAAAGCTCACCACATGAAACCTACGTTCTTTAGGGATATATACATTTGAGGTGCGCTATTGAGAAAAGCAAAACAAAGACAAATACTAAAAAAATGTATTCAGGGCTGTGTAGCTTAGTGGTGGGGCACACGCTTAGCATGCACAGGCCCTGGGTTCAGTTCACAGCACACACACACATTGGTGTTTTTTTACTCATTATACTTTACATATTCCACATGTAACTTTATATAAAATTTCACAAGAAATATGCTCAAAAGTAGCTGAATACTTATAAGTATTTATTTTACTTGTTCAATTAAGGCACTCCTTGCTTCGATTGTCTCCTTCAGCAATTCAGGATCACTCACGTCCAAGAGGGGTTTTCTCTCGAAGTCTTTTCCATCATCCGAATTAACTTCCCAAAGAAGTTTTTCTTTACTTACTACATCCACCACTCCTTTGAAAGTTTTGCCTTCACCAATTGGTAACTACAAGTCAGGGTGAGATTAATGTTATTAAATGATCACTCATTCAGAATTGCACGGGTGATAAACCTCATCTAGTTGCACCACTTTCCCCAAAATGCCTATTAGCACTCTTACCATAATTTATGGCTATTTTTATTTATATACCAACTTCTTCCAAAAAAGATTTGAGATTGCTTCAAAACTGTACATGTCACAATAAATAAATTAGTGAGGAAACTAAGAAGGACCTGATAATATTAATTAACCAATTTACCTGTAAAAGCAAAGGCTTCGCCTTTAACTTCTCTCTGATGCTTTCAACTGCATAGTTAAAACTGTAAAAAGCAAAATATGCATAGTTGAAAATAAGTCAAAAATTCTTTAAGTAGGCTTAAGACTGTTCTCTAAAATAACCCTTATTCTCCTTAATGCCTACCATTTAACAGTTTTCCACAGGAGAGCATCTTGAATAAACTTGGTAACAGTGATTGAATAGATACCATAATCCTGTCATACAGGAGGTCAAAAGATTATTATTTTGAGCTTCATATAACTAAACTTTGAGATTAAGGTTAAATAAACTAAGGTCATAAAGTAATAAATTAAAGATTCAAATGTATGACTTCATTTGACTCAGGATTCTTTCTTCTACAGCTAGAGTTGCTACAATACATACCAGCTTTCTTCCAAGAGCCAGACTCACTTCTTTCTACTTTTACCATAGGGGTCATATGCCATTATGCCATGGTGTTCATTTCTATGCTAACCCTGGAGCTGGTTATCCAAGGACACACATGCCATCTTTGGCACACAGGCTGATATATACATATATGAGATCATTCTGGTCCCAAAGTCTGAGAACTAGCCTTTTATCCAGACATCTCCCTCCTCAACTCCATAGGCATGTCTACCTATCACAATGACTCCAAATAGTAGGGTCAGAACTTGAGTCTAGCATATTTTAAAGGTTGCCGTGCTGTAACTACTCAAGATCAGAGTCCTTTAAACAAATAAACAACCTTAGAATTACTGTGGAAAGTTACATAAACACAAAGCACACAACTATGCAGTCTTTGGAAAGGCAATTTATGTTTTATTTTCACCTCTCTCCCACCATGACCAGGATCTCTTCTCATTTCTACCAGAATCCTTTTTTTTTTTTTTTTGTGGAACTGGGGTCTGAAGTCAGGGCCTCACATTTGCAAAACTGGCATTCTACTGCTGTAGTCATGTCTCTACTCCATTTTTGTCTAATTATTTTGGAGATAGAGTATCTTTAACTATTTGCCTGGGCTGGCTTTCAGCCATGATCTGCCCAATTTCAGCCTCCCAAGTCAGTATTATAGACGTGAACCACCAGTGTCCAGCTCTTAATATTCTTGGTTCCTTCCTCTTCATATTTTTCTCCAAATCCTTCATAGTCTTGATTCTTTAAATTAGTTCTCAGAACAATGAATCCATTTTGGATTACCACTCTGTAAGTCCCCAAGCATGTCCACCACATCTCAGCATTAACTCTCTTCTGCCTTACATGCAGGTCTTACAGCAAGGGCATTCTTCCCACCCAGTTCCTTTTCACTGGGCCTATTACCCCATAGTTAAAGAAAATCAGGGAGAAAGAACACCATTCTCTGACATAACTGCAGGAAACAACTGTACTCATTACCTCTAACAATGCAGGATGCAGTAACCTTCAGTAGTACCAGGTGCTATCCTCTACAGTTCTAAAAAGAACCAATGGACTCAGCACACTGGCACTCCCATCAGCATCTGAGAAAATATGGTCTAGCCCTCTACATGATGATGCACTTAGCAGCTCTGTTAATCTCAAATTGGTACTTAACCTATGGATTAGCTACTTTGAAATCACTGTTAATGTGAATAAATTAGCGTTACACAGAATATTTATATCCTGTAGGGCATACGGTTATTTCTAACGTAAGTTGTAATCCATGAAAAGATCAAATTGTATTTTCACTTTGATAAGCCAAACAAACACACTTCATATACCTTGCTCCAGTTTTGTCCATCTTATTTAAAAAACAGATCCGAGGTATCTTGTGCTTATCAGCTTGCCTCCACACGGTGAGAGTTTGGGCCTAAAGCAAAGATGAAGAAAAAAAAAATATATATATATATACATACATACACACACACATATACATAAATGTATACATATATACATATGTACATACATATGTATGTGTATATACGTATGTGCGCGTGCACATGTGCTGGACAGAAATGACTGTTACTAGCTGTGGAACAGACTAAAGAATCTATATCACAAAGAATAGGACCTCATTTGGCATAGAATTAATATTTCTAAGGCCACTCATTTGCTATGAGGTTAGTATAGCTGGGAATATGATGAAGTGAGAGGAAGAGTGGGCTTCATAGTGTTTGAGAACAATGTCTTTAGTGAACTGGGGTATACACAAAGAGAATTAATACCTGGAAGTTAGCAAGTCACAGAAAGAGGACTTAGAAGACCTACTTTTTGGTTGGCTTCATTTTTCCTAGTATATGTCATGTAATAATGAACTGATTTAATGTCAGTTTTTTGGTATGTGAAACAGAGACTTTTGCCTTGATTCAGACAACTAATGTGAGGTTAAAAAAAAAATAGGAGTATACAACAAAAGTGCTGTTATGATAAAAATCACATATTTCATTGCACAATTTAAATGTTCAGGTAAACTAAGGAGGATTTAAGAGGGGAAGAAAGAAACTAATATAGCATTTATTACAATTTATTAAAATGTAATTTGCATTGATTTCATTTTTTTACATGTTATATAGAAATACAGTCTATTAAGACATCTGTGCTTAGTGAACTGCAATGACCCTGAAGCAAAGCATGAAAAGCCTAATGTGTTAACACTACTTACAATAGAAGCCAGTTTTCTATTTGTTAAGGTAAAATTATATACAATACATAGACTTTACATGCATAAATCAATGAGTTTTGATAAAAGCATACATTTGTGTAACTACTACTTAATCAAGATTATATATAACACTCTAATCGCTCCAGAAATTTTTCTCATGCTTTTCCTCCATAAGCAACCAGATCTGCTTTGTCACCACAGACTGTCTACCCTTGAACCTCATATAAACAGCATAGCACCTGCAGCTCAACATGCTGTTTTTAACATTCATCTATGTCGTTGGGTACACTGGCTCATTTTTTTATGGCCACATTTCTCTTGATGACTGATAGAACTGTGCATCTTTTCATGTGCTTTCCAGCCATCCAAATTTCTTTTTGAGATGGTCATTCAAATCTATTGTCCATTCTTTTTACTATGTTGTTTCTGTGTTTGTAGTTCATAAAAACTCAGCATGTATTTCCCAAGAATATTTTCCTATGTAACCAATACTATTATTGTATTCTCTTGTATAACCAGTACTATTATACTGCATATAGTTCTTTTATCTAACATTACAAGTATTTTCTCTCAGTAGTGGCCCTTTCCATTTTAATTTTTTTTTTTGGTGGTACTGCTTTTTTTGTTGTTGTTGTTGTTGTTGTTTTGGCAGTACTTGGACTTGAACTCAGGGCCTCACCCTTGCTAGGCAGGTACTCTACCACTTGAGCCATACACCAGTCCTCATTTTTATTTTTTGTTTCAGTGATGGAGGCTGGTTAGTGAGAGTAAGGTCCAGACACTGATACTTGAGTCCTAGCATGTATTTCTGGAATAACCAAGTACAATTATCATGTTCAGAGACTTTTAAATTTAACATAACATTTTTATCTAACACTACTAGTTCATATTCAAATTTCCCTGATTTTCCCAATGATGTCCCTTAACTATTTTTAGATTCAGGATCTAACCAAGAGTCATAAATTACATTTACTTTTCTGGTCTCTTTGAAGTCCTTTGATAGTTCTCTACGGGTTTTTTTCAATTTCTGAAAAGTTGTGGCTAGTTTTGTGATTTTTTTTTAATAATTTTTTTTTTTCTGTACTGAGGCTTAAACTCAGAGCCTTCACCTTGAGCCACTCCACCATTATTTTTTGTGAAGGATTTTTTGAGATATGGTCTCGCAAACTATTTGCCTGGCTGGCTTTAAACTGAGGCCTCCTGATTTCTGCCTCCTGAGTAGCTAGGATTACAGGAGTGAGCCACCACCAGCACTCAGCTAAGAATTTATTTTTATTTAGATTTCTCTGATTATTGTCTCATGATTAAATATGGGCTGGACACTTTTGGCAGGAATATAACACAAGTGATATTATGTCCTCAGTGCATCATATTGTGTCAATTTGTGCTAAGTTTCAATCACTTAAGATAACATCACAATTAGTAATTTTAACATTATGACAATAAATGTGGATTCTATATTCAACATAAAGCTGATCTTGAGATTTTAGGATGCCTGAAGAGGGTATAACTCACCCTACTAGCAAGACATTATTTACTACAAATCCATTGTCAAAATTTGAGAAACTTTACAATATATAAACACACTTTTCTTTTTCTTTCTTTTGTTTTTTTTTTTGCGGTGCTGGGGATCAAACCTAGCACATTGTTCAAGCAATTCCTAGTCCAAGAACCTTTATATTAGTAGTTGGAAGATAAGTAATTCATTGGTTTCTCCTGTTTCTGCAGTTATTTTAGGAGAGGAACTGATTTCCCTCTGTTCTGCACTATCTTTGCAAGGATCTTTGTGTAGCAACAGCTTTGAAAGACAGATAAATACTCCCTCAGAGGAAAAGGCAGGTTTGCTTATAGCCCTGGAAGATAACGTCTCCCTTCAGGGTACAGGGCAGGAATGCTTATTGCACATTATAAAAGCATTTCTGTTCTCTTAGTACAAGATTCCTCTTAACTCACTACATGGTCAGTTGTCACTGACTCCTTTTATGTCACCTTCTAGGAACTGGAGCTTAGGGAACCAGTACAAGAAAATGATAATACTCTGGCTATTGCTATTTCTGTGACTAATAAAGTGCTTTGCCTCTCACCCAATAATCTTGTGTCTTCTGCCAAGTCATCAAACTAGGGTAGGCTAACCTGTTAGTTTAAAGTATCAGAACATCAAGCCCTTGACAGTTCTTGATGCTAACTTTTGTATCTTCTACAGAAAACCAAACTTTTCTTTTCTGAGAAATATCAGAGACCACAAATAGATCACATGTCAATATTAAATTCTATCTTCTTTTAACCACAAAATTTGATTTATATGGATTTACCAAGTAAACAGTTATAGTTAACTAATTCTGATACATTCTACCTTTTTAAAAAATCATGCTGTTTTATCTTCAGCAATATTTTTTTTACCTCTACACCAGCAGAGGCATCAAATACAGCCACTGCACCATCCAACACTCTTAAACATCGTTCAACCTCCAAGGTGAAGTCCACATGACCTACGAAAAAGATGAGAAATACTTAAAATCTGTTTTGAAAAAAACTAAAACAATCATATGATTCAGCAATTTCACTTTTGGATTCAAAAGTACAGAAAGAGGGTCTTGAAGAGGTATCTTTATACCCATATTCATAGCAGTACCATTCATAATAGTCAAAAGGTAGGAGTAACACAAATGTCCTACAAAGGGTGAAAGGATAAACAAAGCATGGTACATACAGTTGTCTCTCCACATCCATGGGTTCTGCATCTGCAGATTGAATCGTGGATTGAAAATATTTTTTTAAAAAGGTGCTTCTATATACAGACTTTTTTCTGGTCATCATTCCCCAAACAATACAGTGTAACAACTACTTATAAAGCTTTTACATTATATTAAATGTCACAAGCATGTGACAGGATATATGCAGGCCGTTAGGCAAATAATTTTTCATCTTATATAAGGGATTTAAGCATCTGCAGGTTTTGGTATCTGCATGAATACTGAGGGACACCCATACATACAATGGAATACTAGACACCCTTAAAGGAAGAAATCCTATCATATGCTATAACATAGATGAACCTTGAGAACTTTATGCTAAGTGAAATAAGTCAATGAGAAAAGGATAAATACTTCATGATTCCACTTATATGAGGTATCTAAAGTAACCAAGTTCATAGATGTAGGAAGTAGAATGATGGTTACCAAGGGTGAGGAAAGAGGACAAAGTGGAGTAGTTAATATGTAAGGAGTTTCAGTTCTACAAGATGAAAAGTTCTGGGTATCTGTTTCAGAGAAACGTGATGAATATACTTAACATTACTGAACTATATGTTTACAAATAGTTAAGCCTGTATCCCAGCACCAGGGAGGCTGAGGCAGGATTGCAAGTTTAAGGCTAGCCTGGGTAACTCAGTGAGACTCTTGTCTCAAAAAAAAAAAGAAACAAAAAGCCAAAAACCTCCAAACATAAATAAAAAACAAAAAAGATGGCAATCTTTTAAACCACAATTAAAAAAAAAAACAAACACCTGAAAAATGGCACACAAACAATCAAAAAACCCAAATGATGCAGCATGCCTGAATGGGTAAAATAGAACCATACCTGGTGTATCAATTAGATTGACTCTATACCCCTTCCAGTCAAATGTAACTGCAGCTGACTGAATAGTAATGCCTCTTTCTCGCTCTTGAGCCATGAAATCTGTCACTGTGTCTCCATCATCAACATCTAATCAGGAAAAAGAGGACACTTTAGTTCATAGTCAGAGCATTTTATTTGTACTTGACATCTACCTGACATGGTTTAATTTGCTTTAAGAAAAACCTTTTCCCAAATGGTTGGTTTAATATTTACAGTTCTTAATCTTTCTCCTCATCTGAGAAAAGGGTTTTTCACCAAGATTAGTAATTCTGTCACGAAATACTTTTTCCTTAATTTTCTAAACCATATACTTCATTTTTTCCCTACTTCAACTTTTATTATCACCTCCTTATCCTTCCTGATCCCTTGATAGAAGGCAGAGTAGTGCAATGAAGGAACAGACAGTCCTAGATTTAAATTCTAACTTTATTACTTACTACTCCATGATCTTGAATAAGCTGCTTACCTTAGTTTGCACAGTAAGGCAAATAAGCTATCCTTGGTGGGTTGTTATAAGGATGAAATGAGACAGTGTAAAGTACCTGGTCCAGTAGATGAGAAATGGAAGCTAAAGTAATGAAGTAGAAAAAAAATTCTTCCAAAATTAAATTATCCTTAACAAACCCCTTACTATTAAATTTTCCAAAGAGATTAATTAATTATTATATAATATATTATTTATTATTAAAGTCTAGGAAAAAACTTGGTAATGTCATGGATAAACTTTGGCCTGTAAGCTCAAATTACCCTGCATTAAAATTCTTGAATTATACCTGCTATTATGATTAAATTTAAAGTAGTAAAATAAATAAATTATTATTATCGTTCAAAGCTCAGGAATATAAGATATCACAGCCTTATAATACCCTTTATGCCTGCATAAAACCCCTAAAATAGCAGGTAGCTTCCTCCTGTGTTTATGTATGTATATACAAATATGTACACACACATAATCTAAGCACCAATAGCAATAATAGAAATAGAAAAGGATTGTTCAACAATTCCAAATATCTATGTCAACACCTATGAATTGCATTAGTGTTGCCAGTGATGCATAAACATAATTACCAAAGAAAACAAACATTAGCGATACAAAGACTAAATAACTTGCCCCAAGTCCAAAATAAGGCTATAACTTTTTAAAACATAAGAATTTTCACAATGATAAAGGTCTTTATTTTGTGTTTTCTCTGTATGATTATTCATATAACTAATATAATCAACCTTGAGTCAGCAAGTTCTGCCATAATTTGGTTAATTTCTAGGCTTACAGAAATCTGAAATCAAGTTTTGATGTTTTGGATTTGGAGTATTTCTGATTTCTGATTTTGAATTTCTACCTTAGGGATGCTCAATTGGTAAAGTCCCTGCAAATATTTCAAAACCAAAACAAAATCTGAAATACTTTTGTTTTAAGAATTTTGGATAAAGGATACTTAACCCCTATTCAACTAAAATTTTATCAACCGTACAATTTAAACTGTTAATTTTTTTACTACACTTTTAAAAACTGGTAACTTGGAAATCAGACCCTCACTTCAGGTTACAATTTAGGAATGTGAGGGAAGGGCTATCATCACGTGTGACACACAGAGGAAGCCTAACAATGTCCCACATTTTGGGTCTATCATATGCCCATTTAAATAGCAGTAATTCTATGAGAAATTCAGGTGGTTACACATTTAGGAACCAATCCTCATGAAGTGAGCTAGGGCATCATTATTTAAAAACAAAACAAAAATACAAAAACAAAAGGCTACCTAGGTATCCACATATGCTTGCCTAGCCATGAACCACAATTTTCACATGCTACACTTAAAAACATAAAAGAAAAACTTAGGCAAACACTACTATTGTGAATTAAGGATTAATACTTTTTTCCCCCCTACATAAGAATTTGACTTTTGGTTAACTTTCCAGTTCTTTTCTTCTAGGAACCAAGTAATAGAACTATGTCAACTATGTTGCTAGGCAACATGGAAAAAATAACTTCTGATTGGTAAACTAAATCTGAATTGAGAAGAATTAAAACTTGGGAGAATTATAAATAACATGGGTTTCCCTAAGTGGGGTATGGCATGCCCCTTATATGGAATCTTCAAACTATGCCTGTGGAGTTGTAACAACAAACATTCATTCCTACAGAGCATGAGTCTTCTAAACTAGGGTGGCTCTTGTAGAAAGAAATACCTAATTCTATAGGTAAGCTATGGCTCCTGTCCTGTAGTGTGAGGAGTGGATTATGAGAAGCCTATGAGAAGTAACATAAGCACAGTCGTGCTCAATGATCTACAGGCTGAGTTTGGCACAGCCCCAGTCACAGAAGAGAGCGAGAGGCAAAATGCAGCAAGCTGCTTTCCTAAGTTGTTTGTGTTCAGAAAAGCAGGAATGTAGGTTTCTCTTGGTACAGTGTCACGCCCCTCCCCTAGAACTGTTGCTCCACCTCCATGTTTAGCACTGGATATAAAAGACTCACTTGTGGGGAGTGGAGTAGGAAAAGGAAGCCTATGAGGACATAAGTACAATTGTACTCAATATTCTGCAGGCTGAGTTTGGCATAGCCCCAGCCACAGAATAGGGCGAGAGTAAGACGCAGAGCAGCTGCTTTTCCTAAGATGTTTCTGTCACACAATCTGTAGGCTGAGATTTGACACAGTTCCAGCCACAGAAGAGAGTAAGAAAGCAAGATGCAGCTCAGTTCTTTTCCTCAATGCCATGCCTCTCCCCGAGAACTGTTGCTCTACCTCCTTGTTTACCACTGGATACAAAAGACTCATTGAAGGAGGCCAGGAGGTTTTTTGATAAGGTATTTTTTGCTGAAGGGAGGATTGCTGGAGGGAGATTCTGAAGAGGGAAAATGAATTGCTGAAGGGGAATTGCTAAAGGGGAGTTGCTAAAGAGGAGTTGATAGAATTGATTGGCAGCCGTGAGGGAACTGCTGCTGAATGACGCAGTCACTGTTGTTTGTCTGCAAGTCTGAGGGCCAAGACTTTAAGAAAGCTAAAGTGAGAAAATGGGACAGTGCAAGTCTGCAATGAGGACTTATACACAGGCTTTAGGAAAGCTAAGCTAAAGAAAAGCTAAAGAGAACATGGGACAGTACAAGTCTAAGAACCAAGAGTTTAAGAGTTATGCTAATGCAGTTTTTAGACACGGCTGTTGTTGTTTGTAAGTCTGAGCACCGAGACTTTAAGAAAGCTAAAGAGAAAACATGGGACAGTGCAAGTCTGATGGGACAGTGCAAGTCTGAGGGCAAAGACTTTAAGAAAGATTAAAGGGAACATGGGACAGTGCAAGTCTGAGGGCAAAGACTCTAAGAGAGATTATGCTAAAGAAAAGCTAAGAGAAAACATGGGATAGAGTGAGTCTAAGGAAAGAGACTTTAAAGAATAAAAAAAGACTTTTGAAGCAAGTTTTTAAAGAACTGTAAAGGAGTAAGGCCTTAAAGAATAGAGAAGAGAATAATAGAGAAAAGAAGCAAAGCAAAAGAGTTATTAGAGAAAGTAAGCAATGAGGCTGTTGTGCATCTCCATCCAAGCACCCAGCACACCTGGCCCCAACTTTCTGCATGTCTGTCTATCCTTTGTCCTTTCTGCATCTCCCGTCACCCCCAGTTAGCCCAGTTAGGTTCAATAATAACCAGGAGCAAGAGAAAGCTTGCTCCACTCACTGAAGAAGGACGCAAGGTTTTTTTGATGGGGGATTGATTGGTGGGCTGCTGCTGAGTTATGCTAGAGATTAGAGGAAACATGGGACAGTGCAAGTCTGAGGTCCAAGACTCTTAAGAAAGATTATGATAAAGAAAACCTAAAGAAAACATGGGACAGTGTGAGTCTAAGGAAAGAGACTTAAAAGAATAGAAAAGAAGCAAGGTTTTAAAGAATAGTGAAGAAGTAAGGCCTTAAAGAATAGAGAAAAAGAGAAGTAAAAGAAAAGTTATTAGGGAAAAGAAGCAATGAGGCTGTTGTGCATCTCCATCCAAGCACCCAGCATACCTGGCCCCAACTTTCTGCATGTCTGTCTTCTATAGTTTGTCCCTTCTGCATCTCCAGTCACCCCCAGTTAGGTCAGGAGAACAGGAGAGCAAGAAAGCTCTCTACATTATAGACTTCTGAGCACACCAGTGCCAAATGAGGCCCATGACAGCCTTGCAAATGTATCCAGTTGAATCTTAGAAGACCCTTTGATGGGGGCTACAACTACCTTATCTTTATGTTGCAGTTTAGACATCAGTGACTCCATGCAAAAATCAAAGGTCTTTACGTTGACTTCTAAATCAAAATACTTTCCAATGATGCTTTTGCTAATGGGGAGTGGGGAGAGGAGGAATCCATTCTAACCTCCCAGTGATCGTGTATATCCAGAATAATACAATATTCTTTCTGTGGTGGTAGTTTTGCCTGCATCAATATGAGCCATAATTCCAATATTACGGATTCTGTTTAAAAAGGAAAGAATGCATAAATTATAAAGTATACATTCCTAAAATTACAAAAGCAAAATATCTATGCTATGAACATTTCAAAGCTGGTTAGTATTCTTGTAATTTATATAATTATGTAAAAAACAGAAAAAAAAAGGAAAACATTGAGAGTAAATCCTACCACATTATCCTGACAAAAAGCTAAGTAACAAAAGGACTAACTACAATCTCGAGACTATCTTACATTCAAATCTATGAAAAGTATACTGTTGTTACATTAAAAATTTTTAGCATTAAACTGAGAAAAAAAGATTGCTTTTAGGATACATACCAGCATCTATTTATAATTAGCTAAGATAGAAAGTCACAGAAATTAAAGAATACACTAGTAAGAGAAAACTATTCTAAGCAAAAAACCATTATCAACAATAGTACTTACTTAGCCATAGGAGGGTTAATGATGGAATGAAGGGATTTGATATCATTTCCTATTAAGCCTAATGGAAAAAGGATTAAAAATTAAACTGTTAGTTTTATGAAATTTTCCTCTAATTTGTAAATAGAAACATTTAAAGTAACTTAAACACTGAAATTCCAAATAAAGTAAAATCCAACCTAAATAAAACTCACTTATCTAAAATTTATTTTCCTGCAATCTACAAGAAAAAAGCTATAGTTGATGGTAAAAGGTGGTAAAATTTTAAACACCAACTTCTAGGTCATATTCTTAGAAAAATACAGATTTACCCCAATCTCTGTAACCTACGACACCTCTGTTTACAGAATTATAGATTTAGAGTTAATGTTAAAAATGATAATATTAAGGCACCAATAAACTCTGAATAAAACAAAAAATTTAAATACACAATCCTGTAAACCTGCATTTTCCAAAACCTGAAGAGCACAGAGTGATCTTCCAATCAGCATATAATGAAATCATTGTACAATTTGGAACCTACCTCCCCCTCAGTTATCCCCCAGACACAATATCTTTCAGGGTGACCTGAAAGGTATCACTGAACAGTCAAATAGTCAAAAGGTCAAATACTATTTCTTTTTTTCTTTTTCTTTCTGAGACTGGATCTTACTATGTATCCGAGGCTGGTCTTGAACTACCTATATAGCTCAGGGTGGCCGCTAACTCTAATCTTCCTGCCTCAGCCTCCTGACTGTAGGGATTATAGGCATGCCTACAATCAGCCAACTGATATTTCTTACATAAAAATGTTAACAATGACCAATTCCATGCTTACCACAGGTTTTAATACCAGGTAATGTTAAGGCAACAACAAACTTACAGTTGCAAATTTAATCTATACCTTCTTATTTAAACAAGTTCTTTTTTTCTTTGTCTTTGCCACTCTCTTTGGATTTTTTTGAAATTATTCACTTATTCACATGTACATACATTGTTTGGGTCATTTCTCCCTCTGCCCCCCTCCCCCACCCTAAACAAGTTCTTATAAATTTCTATAACGGAACAATTTTATTTTATTTTTAAAATCTCATGGCAGTCTAAAGATGAAAAGATAATCTCTATGCTATAGCTAAATTCACATGAACAGAATATAAAAACCTACATATGCACAATTAATGCAGCCCACTGAATTCACATGCCCTTATAAGTCAACAACCAATCAGTATTTTTACTCCATTATTCTTGTATGACAGAGATGGTAAGGAATACAGCAATAGAATCAAACTAGCTTCATCTAGTCTACAATGTATTTACTTATTTCAAACAGGAAGGGCATTAGGAACAATGCTGAGCACATGCCTGCTTAGGAATAGTTGGAAATTAAAGTATCATTCCAGAGCCTTCCAGATGCTAACAGACATGCATCTAATCTAAACTGTTCCCAATAAATATTTAACCAAATTACTTTTAAGACTCTTTAAAATAAAATTTTTCTAGTAATCCCCTATTGACAGAAAATACACTTGCATAAATACGCACAATGAGCTAGAAAATACATATTTTACAGCAAGAGCATTCTACAAAGGGGGCTCAGATGCCTCTGAGCCAGCTATTAACACCACCGATCCTCCCTTTGCTCAGCAAATCACATGTCCAGCAGATAAGGAACACAATTCCACTGGTATTCCCTCCCCTCCTGGCTTACTCTCACCCATAACAATAGCCAGGAGATTCTTGCAAACAAAAGAAAGTAAAAGAGAGCCAGAGTGAAAGGGAGAAAGCAAGCAGTTTAAGTAAAATTAGAATCCAATATGTGTACCTGGTAAGGAACTATACTTTCTTCCAACAGGTTCATGTAGCTTTGATCTTTTTAAACTAAGTCTTATTTTACAGCAGCACATAGTCTAGTGAGAGAAAAAAGAAATTTGACATTATTTGTATTTTAGCATTACAAATATTCAAACAGTGGTTTAACAATATAACTGCTTTATCAGAAGAAATTTTGCATCTCCTTAAAGTAATCCCAATTTATTAACTCCAATTCTTTCAAAAAGTAACAAACCAAATTTATACTACAGCAAAGAACAGGGACAAAATTAATACTGATTTGCTATTTTTAGTTGACCTTAAAACAATGGTTCCCTTAGATCTGCATAATTAGTATGGAGTGAGGACTTTTTTGAAATGGAAATTCTCAGGCCTCACTATAGACAAGAGAATCTGAAATTAAGCACTCCAGGTGATTCTGATAGCTACACTTTGTGGTTCATGAACTCAAAAGCTGTAAGGTGTTTTCAGGATTTGTAACAGCAGTTACTCATGAGAATCACCTGGACAGCTTCCATCAAACATGGCAGTGGAGGAAGCAGAGGAGAGCTAGGGGATTTTGGCGATGGCATTTTTTAAAGTTCCCAGGAGTCTCCAGGGTAGCATCACAATTGAGAATCACTGAGTTAGAGCAGGCCAATGTAAGCCAGGTCTGCCCTGCTCTCTAGCTTCCCTCACTACCTCCTCATGTTCCCTTGCAGAGGTTGGATATTCTCCATCCCAAGTGAACCTTAGACTCTAGACACAACTTAAAGGTAACACTATATATGCAACTGTGAGTGTGTGTAATATTTTTGGCTTATCACAATCTTTTAAAAATATTGTGGGATGTATGCCTGTGCTTTCTATATCATCTACATTAGGCACCAAGTTTCTGGCAATAATATGTAATTATCCTAAGAAAACATTTCACAACAGACTCAATACTATTTAACTTTTCATTGTATAATAATCAGGATAAGAAGATCCAGTTAACTACTATCACCCAGTGCATAATCTAACAGTGTAGGTAATAAAAACACTGTTAATTCTTTGGGCCACTTAATGAAATCAAAAGTGAAATATGTAAATATATATTCTTCAAAATACTGCACAGTAGCAAACCAAATTTATAGACTACCAATAAGGCATACCTCTTCTGGGTTACAGGGTTTCCAATACTCTCTCTTGAGTCACTGCTGAAGGAAAAATTACCCAGACAATGTTCAATCTGTCATTTAGTTGTACATAAATGATAAAGGAAATGGTGTTATTTGAGGATTGATATTTGTAAAGTACACTAACAATGTGACAGTTTATAAAATAGTTTATAGGGTTTTGAAGGGGATCCAGGAGTCAGACCAGAGCTTAAAGACTGAGACAACATTCCTGAAATATTAGACAAATGATAAACTGCCCAAGAAACTGGCTTCCAACAGCTCTGCAGAAAAAGTTTTATTTTATCAGCTATTGCACAATATATGCTACACCTTGACATTAACTTAACAGGAACTTTATTTCACAAACATCTCAATCTGTGGACACTTAGCATAATGCACATTCTTAATTAGCAGTGAAGATGTGCACTGAGCTCTGGCATTCTTAGTAAAGGTGTTAGACAGCTACATTTCTCCAAAAACAAGTGATGTTTTAGTACTTCATGAGAATAACATTCAGTGGGGTTTTTTTGTCAGTATGGGGGTTCAGAACTCATGGCCTTGCACCTGCTAGGCAGGCAGTCTATCACTTGAGCCACACCTCCAACCCAGCATTTATCCAGTTTTATCTGTTGCTTGTTTTAAATTATGTATTTTCTTACTACAAGTTTGCCTTGAGGATAACTGTTAGGTCCACGCTGATGGGAAGGCCAAATTGGAGCCAAATAATAAAGCAAGCAGGCTTTAAGCAGGCTTTATTGAGAGCGCTCTCGGGCGAGGTTCACCATCCCCAAAGAGCAGGGCCGGAGAAGTCGCGCGGCAGAAATGGCAGCCCAGTTTTTATATCCTGGGTGAAGTTAAGAGCTTAAGGTATTATGGGGCATCAGAATAGGTCGAGGTTTGGTGGGGAGGAGCTCGGGGTAATATGGATCTGTAGGATAGGTCAGGACCCATTGCCTGCCAGCAGGAGTTGCCATGGTAATCATGAAGGGAAGGAGGGGATGGAGTGGAAAGTGAGCAGAGTCCCTGATCGCCATGGGGTGGCTGCCCACCGGCCAAACAATAACCAAAGGTTATGACTAAACTAAGTTTGAAATAAAAAAACAACAGAAAACAAACAGATGAGCTGTTCTAGGGTTTTAGGAGTAAAATTATAGCAGGAAGGAGGACCAGAAAATAAACAGACAAGTTTGTGTTCTGATAATGTAGCAGGGGGTAGGAATGGCATAGTAGAGAGATAAAACTTAAACACTTGAAACATGAAAAAGGTCACATAGCACTAGGGGAATGAAATAGCCAATGAAGTCACATGCAGCCATATGTGGGTTGAGCTTTGCTTTTTTGTTTCTGTAACCTGCTTGCAAGGGTATATAAAATGAGACCCTTTTGTTCTCGGGGCTCAGACTTTGGACACGAGTCCTTTGAGTCTGTGCCGGCACAATAAAATGTTGCTTCCTGCTAAACTGCCTCAGTGTCCCATATCTCAGCTTGAGATTCCTGCAACAAAATAATTAAAGTTGCCAAAGTACATGTAATTTTACAAAAAAAGCTTACATTAATGTGCAGACTGGATATTTTCTGATGATTCACTGCAAATATCCTCAAGTTGGTGAACATTCTGATCCTCTAAATTGTTATTTTCTGAAAAAAGAAATAAAAGTGTAAAACTAAATTTATGCATTGTAAGTCAGTAAGGCACATAAAACATAAAATATATATGGTAAAAATATATTTCTTTTAGAAAATAGGAATGTATTTAGCTACCAAAAACTCAATACATCATTCATAAAATAAAAATTCTGGCTAACTATGAAAAATATGGCTTGTAAACTTAAAATATCCCTTTTTTTTAAAAACACACTTGAATTCTTCAAAAAATGGATATATTATTGAAATATATTTATTGAAACTGCAGAAACATCATACCAACTAATATACACTTTTACAAAAGTATATAGAATTAAATATAGAAGGTAAGCATTCTCGTGTAAACTTAGTTTCTCATTGGCAGTAAAATCTATCTGTATATTCTCATTTTCTTATC